TGACCTATGTCACATTTCACATGTTGAAATTCACTATGTGTATCCTCTGCTTAAAACGATGCATCAAGGAGCAGTAATAAACTTCGACACAAATCCTGCGACAAGCAAACGACATCATGACTCTGTTGAATCGAATGCCCCGGCATCCCCGTGAGATTTGGTTTGGACACCAGTCCTTGCCTGACTCTGGATGATTTTAGAAGCAAGTTTATGCTAAATTTAGGCATTATCATTAATTTAGTGCCGAGGTGACGGCAGCCTGAGCAAAAGAAGCAGACTCTTGCATGTGTGAACCAAAAAAAAAAATCTTATAACAAAAGCAGGTGGATGTTGAAATCAACAATTCAACCAGGACACTTCTAGAAACCTGCAGAATTGACATTTTAAAGGCATTTTTTACCATGTCTCCAATTTGTACTTGACGGTAGTAGCAACTAAAAGATATCAACCTTCCTACCAGGTCCGATGCAGATCTGATACATTGCCAGTGACTGAGTCACTCTCTTAAAACCGATGCACAGTTTTTTTTTCTGCATTCATGTTATTCTTGCATCAATTTGGTTTTTTGTGGAGAGAATAATAATTTAGAGCATCTGCCATTCCAGGAACAGTATACAAACTCCCACACTGGTGAAAAAAAAGCTGAGCTGGCCTTTGTAAAATGGGAACTTTAGTTTGCAATTTTTCACATCCAGTAAGCATTAAGGGAAGAGCTGTCGGTGCCCTACAAATCATCATGCCATATTTTGGCGGGGGGCATGTGGGGTCAAAATGTATTTGTTAGACGTTTTTATCAAAAATGTATGATGACTGAAACTGCATTTTAAAACCTAATTATGGAAAAATACTGAGAAATATCAATAACTGAGGTACACTGAATGGAACAAATAACTCGTGTGGCGCACCCAAAATATCACCATGGAAGGGCACTACAATGTGGAGTGACCACATGTTAAAATTTACGCTTATCATAACTAAAGAACTTGTCAAAGTTTAATATCTTAGTCATGGTTGCTGCTGTTCTGTTGAGCAACGCAGTTCAAATTGTCGTGTCTGTTTGTTTTGTTTTCAGCCCCCCGCTGGAGTGAAGGGCGTTTCCCTCCAGCAGGCTCACCTGTTCCGCATTTAGCAATCAAGCCTGCCATGTATTTAAGGACTGCCAAGGTGCCTCGTCTCTCGACGGATTATTAACCTTGCTATGTTGTTTTCTAGACATTTCCATGGTTGCTCTCGTAATTCATAGATTGTTGTTCATATTTTTCTTTTTTGCTTTTGATCTTGGGCTTCACATTATTGGCTTCTTGACATTTTGTTTGTTGATTCTTGGTGTTCCCTAGCACCTTGCTTTTATACTGAGAAATATTAATATCTGAGGTACAGTACATTGAATGGAACAAATAACTCGTATAGCGAACCCAAAATATCACCATGAAAGGGCACTACAATGTGGAGTGGCTACATGTTAAAATATACGCTTATCATAACTAAAGTCAAAGTTTAATATCGTAGTCATCTGCTTGGGACTCTGTTCTGTTGAGCAACACAGTTCAAATTGTCGTGTCTGTTTGTTTTGTTTTCAGCCCCAGCTGGAATGAAGGGCGTTTCCCTCCAGCAGGCTCACCTGTTCCGCATTTAGCAATCAAGCCTGCCATGTATTTAAGGACTGCCAAGGTGCCTCATCTCTCGACGGATTATTAACCTTGCTATGTTGTTTTCTAGACATTTCCATGGTTGCTCTCGTAATTCATAGATTGTTGTTCATATTTTTCTTTTTTGCTTTTGATCTTGGGCTTCACATTATTGGCTTCTTGACATTTTGTTTCTTGATTCTTGGTGTTCCCTAGCACCTTGCTTTTTTTTTTTTTTTGCAAGCGTTTTTGTTTATGCGTTGTTTCTCCTGGCTCCTTGTGACCAGCGTTTTCTGTTTTTACTTTGTCGGTGCGTTTTTCTGGAAATCGATATTTTTCTTATCGCACTTACCTGGAATCCAAAAACATTTTTCAGTTCGGTCCAGAACCTGACACAAATCAACTCAGCGGTTAACTGTTGTGAGATTATTCCAATGACCAGATGTTTTTCGAAGTGTGGGCTTGCTCCAGTGGAATGCAAAATGATCACTGCCTACTGTCAAAGTACAGTTCAGTTGTATTTAAATTTTTATTTCAATACATTTGCATCTAACCTTCCATTACTGTTGGTTTCTGAAATGCTTATTTACATTCATTTAGGTCTTTTTTTTTTATGCGCGATAAACTTCATTATGTCAAAAGAGTTTTTTTTTCATTTTGCTCAATTCAAGCACAGCATTCATGTTGAAACTGTGCAATGTCACACAATGTACTTTTTGGCTGTGCCCTAGACTTACTCTGCTATTGTATTTTATTGATGATCATTATGATGGTGCTTGGAGTGCCAAGTATCTTTTAGGTGTAAAAGGTTTGATTCCCCCTATTTTATGCCATTCATAACATTGCTTTTGTAGGAGAAATTGATGCGTTTGATGCCCACTTGTGATATTTTGGCGTTTCACCACCGATGCGGTTCCATCCGGTAAGCTTGAGCCTGTCATTATTCCCCAATGATGAAAATCTGGCATGTGAGAACTAATTGGGCCAGAGTGAGCACATTCTGGGCCGCATCTCCAAGGTGAGCAGCAGACGTCGGATTTAATCAGAACGGCAAAAACATAACGCTGCTATCAAGTATTGATAAATGACAAGATGACTATGTTATGAAATGTGAATAAATAAATGCCTTTGCAAACAACTTCACCGGTTTGGTAATGTTATGTAGCCCACTGTGCAAAATTATTCCTTTTCCCGTGATTTCCCATGATGGAAATAACTCAATGTGTGCAGAGAAATTAAATATCTCCCCTGCTGTGCTGTTTTCGTTAAAGTGTTAAATCGGCTCATTTTAATTTCCAAACTTTGGATCTTGAGTGGGTGAAGAAGCCTCTGAGTGGTAGTTTTATTTCAAATGGTTCTTTTTAAATATTGTATTATTGTATCCCAAAAGGAGCTCTTACAATCAGGAATTCTAGAAATACTTTGAAAATATACACTGTATTGGAGTATTACCCCTGAGATAATCTTTGGGGAGCTTTAAACCCGGAAATGAGATCTCTGAAACTGCTCTACTTACGACTACTTTACGGTCCTGCCAAAATGGAACACATTATTTCCATTTCCATTATTTTCTATTGGGAGAGGGTGAGTATTTTCTTTTTGCATGAAATTTAATGGAAAACAATAATTTCCCTCACACTTGTTGATCAACTGTGGACTGAGGATGAAAATAACTCAAGGTGACTTCAATTCAGCTTTACAAAGAATCCCCAGCGTAAAAGCACTTGAAGTTGTTTCTGGTTGAAAGGGCTTTGCTCTGCCTTTGCTATCGTGATAGACGTTCGGGGAAAAAAAAACAAGCGTTGTGCTCGCCACAGTCGGCGTGCTGTCATCGTCTTTAATTCAGCAGAGAAGCGGAATCCCAAAGTCTGCGAGGAGGCTCCAATCGCAGCCACGACGAGCCGCACTTTAAGTCACGTGACTTTCGATACACGGCGGATAATAAACTCTTCTCCTCACCGCTCTGCATCTTTAACACTTAGGAAACACACGTCTCGTCTTCACTCTGGCCTGCCACATCATTTTATGTGGCCCGCGAAAGCAAATCAAGCATGCCAAGTTCCAGGATGCTTGCTAAAGTCTGAACCAAATTTTCAAATTGCCCTATGTAATCCACAATTACAGTCATTATTCTTGACTTCTGAGTTTAAAACAAGTTATTCATCAATTTATTGTGCGCTGTGTATGTAATATGTGGAGGGGATTAAACATTTATCTGGTTTCCCAAAATTCATAACGGCCCTCCAAGGGAAACCGTAACTACAATGTGGCCCGCGACAAAAAATGAGTTTGACACCCCTGGTCTAACCCTTCGTTTGGCAGTTCCTGTGTTTACATTAGTCATAAAACACAATATTCTCTGAGCCTTGAAAGGCAGAATGCTCTAAATTGGCTGGCACTCAAGAGGTTCCTATTTTGAAAGAGTTAATAATGGTACTAAGGATTAACGCATCAGGGAAGGAAAGATAAATATCAATACGCAACCGTTTATTTTTACAGCTCTAGTCATGTGTTCACATGTTCAAATAACTTCTACAGCATCGCAAGGAAATGACAATGTCCCATCACTGGAGAAGTCCTCAGGTTACACCCCAGACTGGTCGCCAGTCAATCCCAAGGCACCAATCAAACATGCAATCAAACTCCTGTCTGCAGTATGGACAATTCTTCAACCGCAAGCTAGCATGCATTGGTTTGGAATGTTGGAGGAAGAGTACAGCTGGAATCTATCCATGGAAGCGCGAGGAGAACATGAAAACTCCACATAGCGGAGATTTGAACCGCAAACCTTAGAAGTGTGAGGCAGATATAGTTACCACTTCTTCACCGTGCTGGGCATGTTACATCCATTACGAGCCAAATTCAAGTTACCAAATATGATGCCTAAACATCTGAGAGAACCAGTGGTGATCAATTGCAATCACATTGCATCAACTATATTCATCTTTGGGAAGGGCGATCATGTTATTGTTCAAATCGATATATGTGGCCAACACACAAATGATTGGAAAAGCAATTCCCTTACTCATGCATGATAATCCAGTTCATAAAAAATAAATAGTAATAGTAAATAGAAAAAGCCTGCATTTCTTATCCCCTCTGAGCTGCTCTGACACGCTCTAATCAAGGCTGAAATATTGTTGCATGCGGTTGTCAGCTTTGCCAGTGTCCAACATTGCTGCATAACTGGTGATGGGATGTCCACATCGGTGATGTCATTGACCCCCCCCCCAATCATCCTCTGATTGACTGAGACTCCCTCCCCTCCACAAAAAAAAAGAAAGAAAACACATTTAAGTCAATAAAAGGCATCACAAGTGGTGGCCTTGTTGAAATAAAGGAGATGTTGCTCCCTGTGGTGACTGCACTGACCTGGATGGTGCAGGTGTACTCGGAGTCGTCCAGCAGCCGCACGGTGCAGTTACACTCCCGGTCCAGACTCCGGATGCTGCTGCTCATCAGTCTGCTCAGCATCTTCCCAGCGGTCTGCGAACCGGACCGGGGAGGACGACGCGAGGCGCATGCATACGAGTTAACGACGCGCCCGCACCGTACTCCAACACTTGGTCGGCGGAGGCGGCCGTGAACTGCGCCGCAGTTGGAGCATCTCCGACAGGGTGAGGAGCACCGGAGGTACTGCTGCTCAGTGGTCCACGTTCAAGTGTCACCCCCCTCCCCTGGCCCTTTTTTTTAACCACACCTTCCCCTCCTCACTACACCGTGATTGAATGGTGGCTTTGCAGTCGCCAATCACGGAGCTAACAGTCGTGACTGAAAGCCACCTGCATGCCAGTACGAATAACAATAACAACATACAATGCGGAAAGTCGTGTCGGGAGTTAGCCGACGTCCAAATAATTAATGCACAAGTCTCCGTATTTGCTGATATGGATAAGGCATTTAAACGATCACATGAATGCCAATTAATTCATGTGCTATACTGTAGCTACCCCATGTGTGCTGCATTGTGGAGCCAATGTAAGGGATGGGGCACTATTTAGATCAAATACGACTACACGTGTTTACATTCGGTGCCGTGCCATTACGTCTTGCATTTGTGATGTAAATGTGTTTAATTTTAATCGAATATCGTTTAAAATGCACAAAGTAAAAACTTTTCATGGAAGATTGCATAGGCTGTTTCATTCAAATGCAACACTTAGAGTAACAACTTGTCACGACTGATGGTTTTCCTATCCAACCCCACGTTTTCCAAAATCTTGCCACTCATTTTACTTCGAGGCAGCATGGAGGTATTTCAGGTTTGTGTTAACTCAGTTTGAACACTAGGGGGTAGGGTGTTGGGGGCCGGGGTGGGGGGCAAAGTAAAAGGAGCAAATACAGTTAGCAAAAAAAAAAACTAAGGAAAAAAAAAACAGAAACTCAACCCAACTCGTGTGTGCGTGCGTGTGCATGTGTGCGATGGTGCGTGTGTGTATGCGTGCACGTGCGGTGACAGTCGATCGCGGGTTCGTTGGCATGAAAAGTAAATCTTCGGTCAGAAAAGGTTGGGCACCCCTGCAAAAAATCAATCACAAAGACAGCAGAAAGCACCAAAACATAAAAACATGATTTTGCATGATGTAGGCATATATTTATTGGTATTTTTTTATTATTACATTAATTTTATTATTCGAAATAACACGACGTAATTTGTACTGACTGTGTCACGATATTCCGTTATCTCCATGCATTATTTGTTGAAATGAATGAAAAGCTTTGACGATATGACACTCATTTATGTGTATACATTAAATAAATTATTAAAAAGAGTTGCTGGAGGTCAAAATGTGTTGTGATGAACCAGAAGAGCAAACAATTAATCGGAATCAGCCATCTTTGTTTACATTCGCCAAGAAGGTTTTGACGTGGGAACTGGGAATATCAGAATGGGATTTCTCCGACTTTCCACCTCCCTCGAATGCATCATTTCTTCACGTGTTTTGCATGGATTGTGGCGACATTTAGTGGCCGTTGTGTGTACTGTACCAGAAATGTAGCGCGCGTAGGTATCTCTGACGCCCCGCCTCTGTCCTCCTCTGATTGGCTAGCACGCTTCCTGTTTCGTAACTCTTCAACGTGGTTGTTACCAAACACAAATCTAGCAACGACAACCATCGGTTGAGCGGAATAAAAGACGTCTTTAAGGTAGATTCATTGACTTTGCATTATGTTTGTTGTCATGGGCCAGTCTGTGTGCACATTGACAAATTAATTTAGTGGCGTTAACTCCCCAAGTTGATGCTGTTTAATATTTGACGTCTGCACTCTTCTTCACACCAACAACAATTGATCAAACTGCATACTGTACTTTTGTCGGTGAAACTATAAAACAAAAAGAAATGAAATTAACCAGATATTTACCTCAGATTAAACTGCCGTACAAAACTATTTGTTTAATAGTTACTGATCCACTATGTCCATTTGCTTAAAGCTGCAAAAATGCATTTATTGCTTTTAATTTATTTTGTTTAAATTACTAAAATGTAAATGTTACTAAACAACGTAAACACTTTGAAAATATTAGTTCTACAGTTTTGGATATAACTCTTACTACAATAATAACAGTGAGGCATTTTAAAAATATCCCCACCGTATTTTGACTGTGTTTGACAGCGTTTTGTCCCGTGTCTTCAGAAATGGGTCATCGATGCATCCACTGGTTCCGTAAAGGGCTGCGGCTGCACGACAACCCGGCGCTGATGGCCGCTCTGAGGGACTGCAAGGAGCTCTATCCGGTGTTCATCCTCGATCCACATCTCTTTGACAAGAAATGGGTGGGCATCAACCGCTGGCGGTTCCTGCTGGGGGCGCTCAAAGACTTGGACTGCAGCCTCAGACTGCTCAATTCTAGGTAGACATTCAGCATTAACACTATGATCATGCTAAAGGTTATTTTAGTCACTGATGTCTTTTCTTTCCCTATCTATTAGGCTGTTTGTTGTGAGAGGCAAGCCGGAAGACATGTTCCCCAAACTGTTCACAAAGTGGAAAATAACAAAGCTGACCTACGAGTTTGACGCAGAGCCTTACAGCGTATCCCGTGACCAGAAGGTGGCCGCACTAGCCAAAGAACATGGGGTGGAAGTCGTGTATAAAGTGTCCCACACGCTTTATGACACAGACCGGTAATTAACCCCCCACCCCACCCCCTTTTATTTAACAAGGAGAAAGAACCATTGTGATTTAAAATCTTCTTTCCATCGCCGCAGTGTGCAAAATTCTAGTACTGGTAGTTGTTTTGCCTAGGCTGTGATATGTTGGTGCATCTCAAAACATTACAATACATTTATTTTTATATTAAAACATCTATATGAATATCACTTTTTTGAAATTGAACTACAGAAATAAACAACCCTCTGTATGATATTCAATTTTTTACTGTTTGTTTTCCCAGAATAATCGAGGAAAATAATGGGAAAGCCCCCCTCACATACAACCGCATGCAGGTTTTAGTGAAGACCCTTGGGCCCCCGAAGAAGCCAATTCTCGCTCCCACTGTAGAAGACATGAAAGGTAAATCTCACTAACTTTAATTGTCACATAGTTCTCATGGAAACACAGCACAAAAAGTAATGAGAGTCTCTCCTCAAAAGATGTGAAGAGCCCTCAATTAGAAGATGACGCACACAATTATCCGATTCCGTCAATGGATGAGCTTGGTCATGATACATCGGAACTCGGAGAGGAGCCTTTCCCAGGAGGAGAGCAAGAAGCTTTGAGGCGACTGGAAGAAAATATGAAAAAAACTGTAATTCTTGTCAAATTCGTTATCGTTCCAGTTGACACATTGTCTCTTCATGGAAAACGCAGAAATGTCATTTTTCTTAGAACGGTTAATATTCACTAACCTGCCGGAGTGTGAATGTGTGACCTTCAGGGATGGGTGTGCAGCTTTGAGAAACCTCAGACATCTCCCAACTCTTTGAGCCCGAGCACCACGGTCCTCAGCCCTTACGTCACATTCGGCTGCCTGTCTGCGCGCACCTTTTGGTGGAGGCTGACCGAAGTCTACCAGGGAGTGAGTATGATTATTGTCGTCATGAAAGTGAACAGCCAACCAGGATTTGACAGGATTGTCAAACTTAAAAGTTTCAAGTCAAGGGGCTAGGGTTAAAACTATCCATCAATTTTTCTAGAGCATTTGTCCATGTTAGGATCCTGGATGAGCTGAAGCTGATCCCAGCTGACTTTAGGCCAGAGGCAGGGAAACCCCCTGAACTGAGATTTATGCTGACCACTAAACGTTTTCTCTCATTTTTTCTCGAAGAAAAAGCATTCCGATCCGCCAGTGTCCCTGCACGGACAGTTATTGTGGCGAGAGTTCTTCTACACGGCCAGTGTCGGTGTCCCCAACTTTAACAAGATGGAGGGCAACCCCGTGTGTACTCAAGTGGACTGGGACACGAATCATGACTACCTGACTGCCTGGAGGGAGGTATGAGAATCATGTCACGTGTTATCGATGCGACGACAACGACATCACTTTCTTGGACGTCGTCACGAGGGCGTTTATTTTGCAAAGGCTCGGACCGGTTTCCCCTTCATCGACGCCATCATGACCCAGCTGAGACGAGAAGGATGGATCCATCACCTGGCCAGACACGCCGTAGCCTGCTTTCTCACCAGAGGAGACCTGTGGATCAGCTGGGAGGAAGGGCAGAAGGTCAATTTATCAGACCAAGTTGATCCAGATTTGAGTGAAATTTTGGTTTGGTTCAAAGAACGAATCATGACATGCAAAATGAGGAAAAATGATTGACGACGGGGTTCGAATTTTCTTTTTGACCTGACGTTCACATCTTGAAAAGCTAATATGAATATCCACAAATCTATATTAATTTGTCTAATTTTACCTCATCTGAATAAAATGTAATATGCAAGCTCAAAATCTGTCAAATCAGACAAGAGCTGATCAAGATGTTTGTTTGAATCCATACATCATGACTGAATAAAAAAAAAATAAGGAGAGGTGGCGGGACATCATTTTAAAAAAATGTGCAAAATAAAAATGATAATATCTCTTTCAAAAATAATCCGATTCAACAAAGTTACTGTGTGTATACAGGGTCAGAATCTGTTTAATTTGGTTCTGTTCCAGATTTTCAAGTCAGGAAAAAAGGTGTGAAATATAAGCATTAAAAAAATGCAAAAATCAACAATTGTTACCTTCACGAAATTGAACACTATTTTTTATACATTTGTGAAAGGTCAAAATCTGGAAAGTCAAACAAAGCTGACCCGAATTTTGTCACATATGATGTCTGTCATAAGTAGTCACATTAAATAACCAAATAATAAATTCCGCATATCATGAAATGTAATTGACATCATTTACTGTGATCGTAGTAGGCTGTTGTTCCCTCACGACGACACCTTATTTATTGATATTCTCCTATTGTAACCTGTTGATTTCACAGCTAAAGATCACGTTCAAGCCTTGGCAGAGATCAGCAGCACTGATGGCTGCCGTTTTTGTGTGTTCTTATTCATTCTTGAAGGTTTTCGAGACGCTGCTGTTAGATGGCGACTGGGCTCTCAATGCGGGAAACTGGCAGTGGCTCTCAGCGAGCACATTCTTCCACCAGTACTTCAGGGTCTACTCTCCCGTGGCGTTTGGCAAGAAGACCGACAAAAATGGCGACTACATCAAGTATGTTTATCCATCTCCTTTTCTATAGCGCTCTTGGCGTGAGAGGCAAGGTGCCCCCTGGACTGGTCACCTGTCAGTCAAAATAGACAAACTGCCATTCACACTCAACATTCACGGCTAAGGACAATTTAAAATCTTGAAATGCATGTTTTTGGAATGTGGGAGGAAGCTGAAGTATCCCGGAGAGAACCCACTCAAGCTCCTTAGTGTAGATTAAAACACTGAAACTCAGAACTGCGCGGCAGACGCGCTAACCAGCTCACTGTGATGCTTTTAAGTACAATTCTCACCAAAACAAAGTGTTGGCATTTTTGCTCATTTCAGGAAGTACCTTCCCGTCCTGAAGAAGTTCCCCGCTCAGTACATCTATGAGCCTTGGAAAGCACCAGGCAGCGTACAGAAGGCAGCAGGGTGCATTGTGGGTAAAGACTATCCGCGTCCCATTGTGGAACATGAAGTCATCAGCAAGAAGAACATACAGAGGATGAAACTGGCGTACGCCAAGAGGTCCGCCGACACCGATGAATCGCCCAGCAGGAAGCAAGGTGCTCAAACACGTTTTAAAACATGCTCACGGGACACAACATTAGGCACACCTACCATTGTACATACATTCAAAACTCGCGAGTGAAAATCAATCGTGGTTAACTTATTTGTTGCACTTGTTTGTTCGTTCAGAATGTTAAAATGCCTTCATGAAAATTAATAATTTGACCATGGAATCCATTTTTAAAAAGAATTTCTTTTAGACATTATTAATTAATCAGGATTTCGCAAAGAAATGTTCAGAAATGTTTTTGTATTTATATTTCAACGGATTAAAACGGGGCGACAAGTCAGATGATGTTGCATAGTCCACCGCGGCGCACCTAATGAAGTGTAACCATTTTTGTTCACCATATCAAATATTGCATTTCCCTCTGGTGTCGTATCTTGCAGGTGTGAAGCGAAAGGCGCCTTCCGTTGTTGACATGTTGAGGAAGAAAGGAAAGAAATGAGTCCAGCTTATACATTTTCAACAGTTCTTCGGTTATCTCCTATTTAGATTGGTGGCATCGGTTTGCTTGTTTGTGTGGGTTATATTGTTAAGTGCTTGTTGTTGCTGGCGTGTTTCTGACGTCTTGGAGCTGGAAGTTTTATTCTTTCCATACTGTAATGTTTGTGTCCACATGTACATTGAAAGCATTGACAATTTTTACCACGTTTAAACAGTCTAAATTGTCTATTCCCTGGCAATTGAAAGAATATTTCATGATGGTCGTGCGACTCACTTTTAAACGTAAAAGCTTCTCAAAAATATGGCTCGGACACTGCAAATCTACTGCACTAACTAAAATCTCAATGGACTTTACTTGGCTTATTCAATGACTGGCTGTAAAATGAGGTACGAGCCGATAACAATGTGTACTAGTGTCAGAAAGGGAGGTGCAATGGCAATAATGTGGTGTAGAACCATCATGCTTTATTTAACAACAGTGATGCAATCATTAGGAACGTGCCGGCATTCCATGTATGCGTGGGTCAGCTGTCCCGGCAAGTCTAGTATTCTCCCGTTGCCGCTTTCTTGGACATGACGCTGGTGTGAATATCCAGAAGATGATATCACTGCCTCGGCGGATGTACAAAGTGGAGGTCGGTTTCCAGAGAGACCCATCAAACAAACAAACAGTGTGCAAGTATGCGAGTGGATCCCCTTTCCTTTTCCTCTTTCGACCCTCCCTGTTTATCTGCGTCGACACGTCACAATTGCAAACATTTGGCAGCGTGGTGCTCAAACAACCCGGTTGGATCCGCAGATAGCAGAGAATACTGGACCCCCCTGCTGACTGATCAGCATCTCAGGGGAAGAGTTCCGCTGCATGTTAGACACCCACGATTTTAAAGCTTATTGAATTGACTTGTGCGTAAAGGCCTTTGCAGACACTATAATGGTTTGCTTGTTTGTGTGGGTTATATTGTTAAGTGCTTGTTGTTTCTGACGTCTTGGAGCTGGAAGTTTTATTCTTTCCATACTGTAATGTTTGTGTCCACATGTACATTGAAAGCATTGACAATTTTTACCACGTTTAAACAGTCTAAATTGTCTATTCCCTGGCAATTGAAAGAATATTTCATGATGGTCGTGCGACTCACTTTTAAACGTAAAAGCTTCTCAAAAATATGGCTCGGACACTGCAAATCTACTGCACTAACTAAAATCTCAATGGACTTTACTTGGCTTATTCAATGACTGGCTGTAAAATGAGGTACGAGCCGATAACAATGTGTACTAGTGTCAGAAAGGGAGGTGCAATGGCAATAATGTGGTGTAGAACCATCATGCTTTATTTAACAACAGTGATGCAATCATTAGGAACGTGCCGGCATTCCATGTATGCGTGGGTCAGCTGTCCCGGCAAGTCTAGTATTCTCCCGTTGCCGCTTTCTTGGACATGACGCTGGTGTGAATATCCAGAAGATGATATCACTGCCTCGGCGGATGTACAAAGTGGAGGTCGGTTTCCAGAGAGACCCATCAAACAAACAAACAGTGTGCAAGTATGCGAGTGGATCCCCTTTCCTTTTCCTCTTTCGACCCTCCCTGTTTATCTGCGTCGACACGTCACAATTGCAAACATTTGGCAGCGTGGTGCTCAAACAACCCGGTTGGATCCGCAGATAGCAGAGAATACTGGACCCCCCTGCTGACTGATCAGCATCTCAGGGGAAGAGTTCCGCTGCATGTTAGACACCCACGATTTTAAAGCTTATTGAATTGACTTGTGCGTAAAGGCCTTTGCAGACACTATAATCCATCATCTCGGATTTGGTTGTATGAAGTCAATTATCCAACACAGAAATCATTTCGGTCATTTAATTGTACAGCAAAATGAAACCCTGCTGACGTTCACTCTGACCGATGTGTCAAGGTCAACAGAGTTTAGTTTGCAGGAGGCTGTCATTTGATGCCTCCCGTTAGTGTTAGGGTGTTGTTGCTTTTTGCTTCATTGTGTTGTTGCTGTATCTCATATCATAAAATACAGATTCCAGATTTGAACAGTGAAAAACAATTGATCTTAAAAGTCCATATCAAGGGCTTTTTACGTGAAATAGGACTTCATGTTGTTTGTTGAAAGTTATCCAACTACGACAAATAAACGTTGATATATCTCGGGTGCCATTACGCTGTGCAGGTAGCTCTACCTCTTGAAGTGGCCAGCGAGTGGCACCAAAGTGAAGAGGTGATGTGACCTTTGCACACATCCCAAACAACAGCCCCTGCAAACGTGCTCTTGTCTATCATCGCCCCGATAAATCTTCTCCGCTAAGCCACGGTGGGATTTAGAGTGCAGGCTATACATAGTTCATTATGAGGCAACAACCATGTGATCGAGAAATTGTGACTTCATACGACTTGAGTTTTGACAGATCGGTTTCCCCCGAGAAACATGGAAAATGTTGACATTTTTTTTACATTCGAAATCAACTGGAGTATCTCGGGAGTTGCTATTAACGATGATTGCTGTGATGTTAAAACCCGTTCTCACCATTCATTTGTTACGTTTGACATTCAGAATGATGTCATCACAGCTTTTGCGAAGCATCCAATCAGATTGCTCTCAGGTCATTCCTATATTGATCATAGCCACAAGGGGGCATATTTGCATCGAATTTTGGAAGATCACATACCACGCACTAAAGTGGTGTTTGCCAACCTCTTTTGAGCCAAGGCACACGCCAAACAAATATGTCGCAAAAAGTATGAGTACTGAAATGATCATCCAAATTCACTCACAAGTTGATTAACTACATGTGAAATCGAGTCCTAACTTTAAGGGTTAACAGTAGGCCAGTAATAATAAAAAAGACAGCACTCGATGTCTGGTGAGATAGTTTGTGTTCCTCTTTCGTTGTTTAGAAAGGGAGGGTGGTCACATTACATCAGTAATGTTTCCACACTCGGGGGCTTTGATCCATCAGTACACACCCTGTCCTAAATATCCCGACCACGATGAGGTAACTGTGCTCACAAAATAAAGTGGCAGCTGTTTACCGCAGTGCAGATCACTCACAGTCATTATAATGTCCTTTTTTTTTATATTTTGATAATAGTGGATTTTAGGTCCAGAAAATAAATGTGAATATGTGCTAGTTCGTAAGTGAAGTTCGATGAGCATAGCAATACACACGCACGCGCGCGCGCACACACGAGGGAGAGAGGGACTTTTTAATTCATCACATTGTACATGCAAGTCTAAAGAGTGTGTGTGTCAAGATGAGAAGCATGCAGTCATTAGTGAGCTGTACCCTTGTAGGGCTCTTCTATTTCAATTGCTTCTCCTTCGGGATACAAAATGATTGTCAGTAGATAATGAAGCCTTCTCGTTTTATGTATTAAAAAAAAAAAGTTAGACCGGTATGAGAACCATGTTACTCCAAATTATTGTCTTTTTAACGAAAGAAAACCACTTCCCCCTCCCCAATAGATTTTTTTTCTTTTTAATCAATCCAGTCCAAAACTGCTTCTCAAATGATGCTGATTATTATTATATTTTGCATTGTTTAATCAAATAACTTGATTGAATGACATAGCGTGTACAGCCCCAACTTGTGTTTATTGTAATCTCCGATAAACTATCAAAAAGTAAAAATAAATAAATAATCTAAATGTGGCTAAAAATGAATTTTAATATTTATGTAACAATTCTGCAAATAATAATACTAATGCAAAAAATATAGGCCTAATAATAATATTTGTATTAGAAATAATGAATTGTACCACCTCGTTGTCAAAACAACCATTTACAGGGTGTTCCTTGAAATCAAAACTGTCACCCTTAAATCCAATTTAAAAAATGTTGCCATTACCATTAGATTCATAATAATGATGCATCACTTTCTAAGTGGCCAGTAGCAATCTACTGGCTCATAGTTCATGTGTAACATCCACTTTAAGCTACCAACCATGATTTCTTAGGTCCTTAAAGTGATACAAGAAAAAAAGTCATGCTCACCAATACTTATTGTTCTATTTTAGAAGCTACCAAATATGCAGTGTCCTTGACTTGACTTCCACCCTGAAATCATTGTTTAGTGTATCTTTCTTCAGCGTTGACGTGCTGTTTGACCGCCTGGTGCATCCTATTGTGTACAACATACAGGCAGGTTGGGTGGGTGGCAGGTCCTGGCGGGCGGGGATGGGTCAAGGGCTGGAGGGGGTTAAGGCATTCTTGTGCCTATTTGAGAACCCACTAAAAATAGTGCAGAAGGAGCAGGCTATGTGTACACATGCTCGTGTCTGATTGGAAAACAGAGCCTCAATTCAGAACTGTGGGGCATCTGTCAAAGAGGGACGTGACCTCTTCCTTGGTAAGTGCACTGCATTAAAGGATACTGTACAGAGCAGTGATTTTATGTTTTATACCGGTAGCGTTTGGCCTCAGTTAGCATGTGCGTTGTTCCTTTGCAGCTGCCTTTCTACAGTGGCTTGAAGGAATAAAAAAAGAAGAAAAAATTTCAGGGGACTAGAACTTTAGCGCACATTGAAATGGGTTCACGGCGGACAATGCCACGTTCCCATTCCGCCAATGGAAGATTCGGCCACGGGAATGGAATCACTGGCAATAGCCGGGCTGGAGGCTGCAGCTACCTCTCCAGCGTCAGGCCAGAGAACAGGTACAGTGGGATGGTGACATTATGCACTTTACCTCAGCTACGGAGAGATTGTTTTGAATATTAGACCCAATGCACACTAGGGGTATCTCCTCAGAGAGTACTCAGGTGATTAATTCAGAAAAAAAAATTATATAAAAGGAAAAAAATCGCGACTTAATGAGAAATATTAGTTTATTATCTGAAAAATACCTATAAGCGACATCGATTCCAACTTTTTAATTATTGTGAGTTAGAAAATTAGAAAGGAAAAAAAGACAAGGTTTCCATTACACTTAATGTTTAATTAAAAGGGGTCAAATACAATTTGGAGATACATGTTTTTCATTGGACCCTGCGTTTTACTAAAAATGATAAACCAGAGATTCGTGCTTTGATTTTGACTTTGTTGTTCTTTAAAAAGAAGCACAATAAAATATGTGTATCTACAGGGGAGACAATTTTTGAATTTGTAATATGGCTAACTAAAAGGAAAAATGTTTAGGGAAAAACAATCCCAGAAAAAAGTTCTGAGTGTTATTGAGGGAACTATATGCTCGATATCACCACGAAAAACATGCCTTATTACTTAACAGAGAAATTGCTGGCAAGCATAGCACTGAGATACTTTGTGTACTTTTTGCAATGTATAATAAGATGAAGAGACCAGATATTTTCTTGTTCAAGTTGTTCATTAAAGCCAACGAGCTGTACTATTTCATGTGTAATCGATTAGGGTTTAATCAAACAGCAACACGAAGTGGTGCCTAGAGGCCAAAGGCTATGTGCATCGAGACTCTTGAAACGCACTTGTGTCATGTTTGGTTTTCTCGCTCAATGAGTAGCGTGTGATGTGCTGTGAAAGCGTCCACTGACCCCAACACAAAGGACAGCAACACCAGTGGGCAGGCATCGCTAGTCGAACAAGCACATACGATTTGTTTCTATCATGACAGTGTATACTGTAAATTAGCAAGAATAACCATACGGCTTAAAGAATTCATTTTCACAAATTCAAGATGGTAATTCACATTAATGTCACAAGACTGGAGTGGAGGACTAGAGCACAAAACAGTATATTCTAATCATCTAACTGAGAATGACATGTTCTGGATAGTTCAGACTTGGTGGAGGTCTGATTTCATCCTGCAGCAGTGAATGTATTGAACGTCTTCCCTGTGCACAGGAGTACACTGTGCAGCGTGATAGCTCAACTGACACAGGAAACACAGCCCGCCTTCTTGACCACTCTCAAGTCCAAAGCTGTGTCAGAGAGCTCCAATGTCAAGTTCTTCTGTGTGGTGACGGGTGAGCATCGGCATTTGTTTGTCAAGTGTGACTTCCGAGCTAAGTTGGGACAAAAATACGCATCCATGGACAGCATATTGCGTCACGATATCATAACTATAACGGTTGTATTAAAGGGCAAGTCAACCCAAAAGTTTTCTTGATAATAATAAGTTCAATACAGAATTCTCATTATCAATCAATTAATCAAACTTTATTTATATATCACTTTTCAGACATAAACATACAACTCAAAGTGCTGTACAATGCTTTAAATCATTTCAAACTTACAACATTTAAAAAAAAGTTAGTATTGTGTCTTTGGAATATGAGTTAAGCAGCAAAATCCACCCGTCTTTGCTCATCTCAGGAGGTGGCCATTTTGCCACATTTGGTCAACTGAAAATGACATCACAGTTCCTAAGGGCTAGCAACCAATCATGGTTCGGCTTCAGAAAACAGGTGAGCCACGACTGGTTACCTGAGCCCTGAGCTACCATGATGTCATTTGGCAGAAAGTGGAAAAATGGCCGCTCTCCAAGATGGCTAAAAAATGGGTGGATTTTGCTGCTTAACTCATTTTAACTCACAGTATTGATCAGAACCTCGTGTTTAGACTGCACATGATGATGATGGTGATAATGATTATTATTTAATTTGTTGTCGTATTAATCGTACTTTAGAGGTTTTTTGATTTTTTTTTCCTCTTGTCTCTTACAGGTTATCCTATTCCTCAACTTACTTGGTATAAGGATGACAAACAGTTGGACAGATTCTGTGGACTTCCCAAATATGAAATATTTCGCAACGGGCAAACGCATTCTCTGCATATTTACAAGTATGTGTACTATTGAAGTGTGAAATAAGATATTAACATTGATGGGATAATATATTGTTTAATGTATCTGAATCAGGCCCCATGTCCTACTTATAATATTGTTAAAATTCGAATGGTCTTCCCCATGCAGTTGTAGTTCGGAGGACGCAGCCATCTACCAGGTATCGGCCACTAACACCAAAGGCATCGTGTCGTGCTCCGGGGTTCTGGAGGTGGGTGCAATGAACGAGTTCAAGATCCACCAGCGCTACTTTGCCAAAATTAAGCAGAAAGCGGAGAGCCGAGGCAAAGAAACCGATGGCAAGGAGAACCAGGAACCAATTCGCAAAATCAGCCCCGAACGCTCGCAGAGGAAGCGACGCTCCACCACGGAGGTCCGCCTGACCGTACCCAGCTCCACAGAGGAAAAGGTCACAGAGGAGTTCATTGAGTCAGTCTGTGATGATTCAAAGGTGAGGTTGGAGAAACCAGCGGAGGAATTGGTGGGAGAGAAATCGGCACCCTTGACTAAGACTTGTACGAAAACAAATAATGAGAATGGAATCCTTGGCGGCATTGACAAGACTCCCTTTGTCCAGAAGAAGATCAAGATTTGCCCCAGAAGTGAGAAGAAGCCTGAGGAACCCATGGAAGTAGAGAGTTGCAGAAACATTGCAGAACGTCAAGACAGAGCGCCTTTTGGAAAATTGTTAAGGAAAAAAAGTTCGGAGGCACTTCGAGCTCCGGAAGGTGCGAAGAAAGACAAGGAAAGTGTCTTTAAACGTGATGAGAAAGTGTCAGAGATGGACCCTCGCAGACCCTCCAGATTTCGAAATGCACCACAACCCCAACAGCCCTCGAACCGAGTCATCCAGCACACAGCTGATCCTGGATCAGTGGATGGGATCCTTAAGAAGAAGGGTCCTTCACCTGACCAGACCTCAGATCAGCCGCCGCAAAAGGAAACAAAAGTGACACAAAAGAATCCGTCCACGCAGAATGAGGTGAGCTTTTTTTTCCGTCTCCCATGAGCTCATGGGAGCATCATTCCAGGCAACACAGGCAACCTGCTGCTATTTATGGCAGCAACAGTGTAAGAGCATTCCAGTGGCAATGGAAGCTGTGTGATGCACTCATGTTTACACATGCAAAAGGCTGGCAATGGGGTAAAAAAAAAAAAAAGAATCATTCCGTTTTTATAATTCCCTCTATAATGAATGAGCCTGAGGATGATATAGTGCATTACAGTTTTGCATCACAGTGTGAGCGGTTTCCAATATGCTGCTTATCTTACTTCGGTATGACAGCGTTTGGTAAAACCACTAACCACAAGAGCACAGACCTCCACCAAGACAAACAGACAGCATTGCCATTTTTAAACTGGAAGTCATTGGTAGTCCTATAATGACTCAAATTATTCAACCAATCAGTTTTGTATAGCTACACCGTTGCAGGGAGAAGGTACCTCTTATTGTTGACTACACCGGACTGTTTGCTAGACGATTACGCTCACATTCACACCATGACTGATTTCCATTTACCATTATCAGTGTCATGACTTAAAGCAAGAGGATAAATTCCTGTACAGATACTTGTTTTTTTGTTTTTGATTTTTTTTTTTTTTTTTTTATGGTGCAAGTTCACTGTTTACTGGAAGCAGTAGGAAGTTAATAGGTGAGACAGGACTGTACTATTTCACTTTTAAAGTGGTGTGGCGAAATCCCAAAGTGACAAAAAGAAATGGTGCCAAGTCAAAATAAGATCCCAAAACGCACATTTAGCCTGATTCAGACCGAAATGTAATGGATTCTCTATTGGTGTGTGCGTGCCGTCTCTGGAGAAGTCCGGTGTTAGCTTCTTGCATCATTCTTCTACCTAACCAACTAAATGTGTACTTGGAGAAGGGCAAGTGCTTATGCAACCGTGTGCACATTGACTGACATCAGTGAGACAAGACGCAGCTCAACTCAAGTGCCTCTCAAAATGATTGACATGCCATTGTAACCGCACGTTAACGCAAAACAGACATATAGCTTGTGAATAGACCTGAGCTTTTCTAGATGAGATAGAGGGGCAGGTGGTAAAACATGCTATACATTAGTCAGCATTTAAAACAAATAATTGTTTTAGAATACTCTTAAAGGCTCAATTTTTGCCGCACGAAATGAGTGAAGTGAACATTATTAGCCTTGCTTATCGTATCTGCTTTTTATTATGGAATGTCATGTGACTCAGGGAACCTCTTGCTAATTATAAAAGGGAGTACAGCTCATGTTCGGGCGTGATGTGGATTTGACACTGTCTCTACCACAAATCAGAGAGCTGTTACGCTGTACTCATCACCCTGTTGTAACTTAACAGGAACGGGTTTCAAATGTTGCACAAGCAAGATGTTTTGTAATAATGTATCCAAATTCTGTATTTCCTCGATCAATGCTCTCATATAAAACGTGCGATTGTTTGCCACCACTGAGCTACCAGATGGAAAAGTTGCATTTGTGGATCATCTTCACTGTCTCCTCTTACTTTGCCAGCAATAGAATCCAACTGCTGGGCCTATTCTAAATCAGACTATATTTCCATTTCAGTGTTTCTATAAGTTGCTCCTATCACTAGGTCACTTGTGGCCTCTAGTAACACAGTTGAGGTTCACAAGCAGTCCACACAGGATGAGAAGGATTAAAAGTGTCATGTCAGTCTCGATATAATGGTTAAAATCTGAGAACTGCATGAAAAAAAAGATACTCTTCATGAGTATACAGTATCTTAAACAATAAATCTTGCAACCAGTTCAGGGTGTACCCCTCCTACTGCCCAAAGTCAGCTGGGATAGGCTCCAGCATGCTCGCGAGCCTTGTGAGGATAAGCGGTGGTAAGCGGCGTGCACCTTGAACTGGTTGCCAGCCAATCGCAGGGCACACATAAACGAACAATCATTCACACTCACAGTCACGCCAATGGACAATGTGTACATATCAGGGCCTCTTAAATCAGGCTGTCGCCTCTTCAAATAAGTGAGTTGAGTTGAGTAAACAAATGTGAGAATTGTGTTGAAAAAGAATCACATCACTAACAGAACAAACGAAAAGAAACATCTGCATGGTTTTACAGCCATGCAACAAGTGCCATTCTGATTAGCCATCACAGAAGACACATCTTAACTCATTCACTCCCAAAGACGTATTTAGATGTCTTTTCAGTCTGAAAATGGCCAGGCATTTTCAGACCCTTTCAGACTGTTTTCAAGTACAGTCAATATAAAATGAGGAGCTGGGATTAAATGTGTGGCATCTAAAAAGACATCTGAATACATCTTTGGGAGTGAATGAGAAATATTGTAGCTTTTGTACTAATGCTTGTTGCTGGTTACACTGTTGCTGTTGTTGGAATTACACGTTTACCCAAGTCCTGCACAGCCAGGGATAGAGTATCATTAGTATTTACAGCCTGGAAACATGTGCTTGTATTGTCTCCCAAGGTTACACAGGCCCCTACATGGATGAGAGGGAATGATGCACCTGTCAACCCGGAGGCTCCACCTGACCGGCGTTTGGCAGCAGCAGATGCACGACCGCAGCGGAAAATCCCACCGAAAGGAGCCGCTAAAACAGAGGACCCCCGCCTCCGTTTTGTCGCACCTATTGTCAAATCACCACAACACAGACGGCATCATTCCAAGGGATTAAAGGAAAGCCTTGCGGCCCCACAAAAATCGGAACCTCTTTCAATTGCCGAGAGACAAAGCCAACCTGATTTACTTGTAAAATGCGTTGAAGGGATCGGAGTACAAGGTTATAAAAAGGCAGATGAAAATAAGGTGAAGACGTCAAAAGAAAAGACTGTTGAATCTGTGACTGAAACCACTATTAGACCAAAGAGTCAACAACTACAACACACCAGAGATAAAGGCGCTGAAGTCCCGAAACCCATGGTTGTGTCTAATAAGGATAAAAAAACATCCAGTTTAAAACTCAACTCGGAATTACAGTCTAATAAACAAACTAAAGTTGTCATTGCTGACCCATCCAAAAAAACTCCCAGTTTAAATGGACAGCAACCCACAGACGTCCGAGAAATCCCCAAACCTTTGACCAGAGTCGTATCTGTTGCAGAACGTACGAAAGCCCAAATAAGGGCTCATGACACCGCGGTAACAAGTTGTGCTAAAGACATCCCTGCAGATTCCGTAGCACGTCCCACTGCAGCAGACAAACTTCAAAACCTTAGAAATGATGAAAGTAAAATTACAGCTCAAGAGAGAAAGACAGCACCTGATATCATACCCAGGAATCATGTTTTTAGAACTACTCCAAAGGAACATTTTATACAGGAAAGCCATCCAGAAAAGAATAAGATTGCTCCAAAGCCTCCGAGTCCTTGTCCTTCACCTGCCACTGATTCCCTCAGCATAGAATGCCCTCAGGATGTCATCGCCTTGCCCGATGCAGGTTCTTCAACGAACAATGGCTCTAATCCTGTGAATCCTAAAGAGATTGCAACTCAAGGGAGGAAGCCTGTCGATCAAACGTCTCCAAAGGAAAATCTTGTGAAGCAAAATCATCTTGGAAAGACAAGGACTTTCCCGGAGGATCCAAGTATTTGTCCTTTGTCTGTCATTGATCCCCTTAGCATGGAAGGCAAAATAGATGAGACAGACGTACCTGATGCAGGTTCTTTAAATAACTTCTCTTCTGTTCTTGGTAATCCTAGAGAGTTAGAAAATGAACTGAGAAAACAAGTACCTGGTAGCACATCTCCTCAACATGTTGGTGATCAAACCTCTCCAAATGACAATCTTGTAAAGCAAAGTCATCTGGGGAAGCGTAGTACTTTTCAGGAAGATTCTAGTCCCAGCCCTTCATCTGTTATTGATCCCCTCAGTATAAAATGCAATCAAGATGTTGCGGCTATTCCCCGCGCAGGTTCTTCAAAGACTTACCCTTCTGCTCCTGTAAATCCTAAGGGGGAAGCAACTCAAAGACCCACATCAAGAACCAAAAGTGATCCGATTCAAGGCAAAGAATTGGGACTTGATGAAAAGTTCATCCCAGACATTAAATTTGAGGGGATTAATGGAACCACTTCCCAAAGACTGATAATACAACACAGTCCAACCAGTTGTTCACAGAGGGCGTTGAGAATTTCCAGTACAAATGGTGACGATACACAAGAAGACAACCTTCGTATCTATGGGGGGTCAATGGATGAAGACATTCAAGGAATCGATATCTTACCAAATTCAAATCTCAAAGTCAGTCCTTTATTGCAGAAGGGAGAGTGTGATTCGTTGCTTACTCCTGCGACTCCACAAGAATTAGCCTCAGGGGCCCGTTGTAAGATCCTTTCATCCAAGGACAAACTGGAGGAGACCATCTTACCATCTGATCACCAACTTGAGAAGCAAGAGGTTTCTCCCCCAGACGGCACGCTTCCCACCAGTGCCGTGTCAATTGTTTCATCTCCAGACGGTTCCCAACGGTCACCTCTACTTCTTCAGCCCAAGGATGATAGCTCTTCTCCTGTAGAAAAACGTTCGCCACTGCTGGGAAGAAGGAATGTGACCGCTGAATCAAATGCTTCAAGCCAACCACCCAATGAATCCATCCAAAGTGATAAAACTGAGAAGGATAGACGGGACCCATGCAAAGGTAAAGCACCTTTCACATCCAAACTTTTTTTCTTTCCATGTAATCTCTATAGAGTTTTTCCTCATTATGGTTGCAGGTGAGCTGGAGTTGGGTTGTGGTGAGGTGGGATACACACTTGACTGGCCAACAGTCACTCAAAGAACCATTCACAACTATGGAAAATTTAAAGTTGTCAGTAGACCTAAAGTGCATGTTTTTAGAGTGAAGAAAGCCTGGGATGTGTTAACAAGTCATCCGTTGTTCTGCCCACCCATAAAAAGAGAGACGTTGTTGACTTATTGCTGCAATCATTTCAGCTTTTAACAGCCGATTTCCAAGTGGTACTATTCGGTTGAGTTCTGTATGGTATGAATTGTATTGCATTTAACCATGCAGGTTAATGGAACACTCTAAATTGTCTCGAGGTGTGATTGTGAGTGTGAATGGTTGTTTGTCTACGTGTGCCACATGATTGGCCGGCAACCAGTTCAGGGTGTACCCCGCCTCCTGCCCAAAGACAGCTGGGATAGGCTCCAGCATGCCTGCTACCCTCGTGAGGATAAGCAGATTAGAAAATGGATGAATGGATCGTTGTTCTGCGATCAGGAGCCTTATTACAGATACGAACGCGATTCTCATGGTCACGTCTTCATTTTAGCTCCACAGGTTATCCGTAAGATCCGCAGTGAAAGCTTTGCAGATGCCTCGGGGCACCTTAAACTGTGGTGCCAGTTCTTCAATATTCTCACCGACTCGACTATCACTTGGTACAGAAATCAATTGGAGATTGCCCGGATTACAAAAAGGTATGTTCCTAGAATTATTATTTTTTTTTAATAAAATACTGATTGTCCGTATTTGTTTTACCTATTTGTCTCTCAGTGCGGCAGATGAAAGCCAGGTCAATCTGGCTGTTGTTCAAGCATCAAGCAAAGACTCTGGAGTTTACAAATGCACAATCACAAATGACTATGGAAGTGACTCAACCGATTTTCTGCTTGGTCCAGACAGTATGTAGTTACTTGGCACATCAATATATGATGTGTAATTATTAACTTCGACAATACTAAGTGTGTTGTCTCTCCCAATTTGTTTCAGTCTTGGCAGGGATTTCTCTCCGTGAGGACCACAGTGGTAAGATCAGATGTTAACATTCAATACCACCAAAAGATGAATGTATTTCCAACTATTTTGTCCTGTCATCAAGTTGGGGAAGAGATAGAAATGGCGCCATTGGTGTTCAGCAAGGGCGTAGCCGACAGTGGTGTCTTGGGCAGCAAGTTGTTTGGTCGTGTGATGGTGCACAAATCCTGTATTGGCAAAGGCTGTGGCCGCAAGGTGTGGAGGGCTAAAGTCATCTATGGCCTGGAGCCTGTGTTTGAATCCGGTCATACGTGTATCATCAAAGCCCAACGCCACATCGCTTATGGCGGCAAGGAGGAGCACGGCCTCACAGACAGGAACCTGGACTTAGTCAAGCAGGTATGTCTCTCTTCCAAATGGAAATGTTGATGTTGTAGGTGATTCTAACCTGATATTTTCCATTGTTCTGCACACAGGACTGTAAAATTCAGAATCTGGCTCGTGAGTACTGCAAAATTTTCTCCGCAGAGGCAAGAGTTATCGAGAACTTTGGGCCTCCTCTCGAGTGAGTTTGACAATGGGCTCTTATACTTTAAATGCATAAGGCTTGGCACGGTGAGCTAGTGGTTAGCTCATGTGCCTCACAGTCAAGAGGTCCTGGGTCACACGTTTACATGTTCCCCCCATTACTGGAGAAAGGGAGTGTGGGTGTGCTAGTTATTAATCTAAATGTAAAAGGATTGCTTTTAGTCACATTTTCAGCAAGGAGGAGCTTTGATTGTTGAATGAAATTGTTGTCGTCGAACAATTAAAAAGTCAGCTTTCCATGGTATGACCCCTTACCCAACCGAAGTCAACCGCTCTGTTTGGTGGAAATGCGTGATGTCTTTGCTCATTATCACATTCGCTTCACGCTGATCCTTAACAAACCAGGATCATCCCTGTCTACTTGATGTACCGGCCAGCAAACACCATCCCTTATGCCACGGTGGAGGCTGACTTGGCTGGAGTCTATCAGAAATATGTACTGATGGATCATACGGGGAGGATCGAAATGAGAACCACCTCTGAGGTCGAGCTCAAGTGTTGTGCTCTGCAGCACTGGATCTTTCAATGGACCAATGGAAATCTGCTCATCACCCGGCTCGAAGGTAAACTGGGGATTCTTGAGTACCCAAATACAGCTTAAAGCGACTCGTTCTTGGGTGTGATTTGGCTGATGCTGCACAGGAGACAACCCGCAGCAAGAAATCCACTCAAAACACAAACCTATTAGTGTTTCCAAGTTTTCATATAGAAACTACTGCAATAGCATCAGGTCGAAGTTTACAAACACATTTAGTCATCACTGTTTTAGATTTTGAAGGTTGATTTGCACAATAAGTTGCCCCGCTATCTGGTCTGCCACAAAAAGCCTGACAAATGTAAATGAATCTTAGAGAAATGACAAAACTAACCTTTGCTCCTTTTCAGGGGTTGATACAAGGATCACCAACATTGGAATTACAGTCAAATATACAGGGTTGGTATATTGTTCGGGTTTTATTTCAGTGAATGATGTGTGTTAAATTCTTTTCCAGCTAATTTATCTTTTAGACTCACAATCATATTTTCATGTTGCTGCAGACATCAAGGTCTCCAAATGGAAGGCAAGCCTCAAATGTTTGAGGGTTTCGTCTCGCAGCACCAGTGTAACTACTTCTGTGGTCTGCTGGGCCTGAGGTCGCTCAAATTTTTGGACTCTCTAACGGCACCGGCCAAGCCCAAAGGCTCCAGAAGCCCATTGCTGCAGCGCAAGAGTCAAGCTCCTGGCTCCTGCAGCCCACAGGCTGGAAGGAGAGCAACCGGCAGCCCCCGGATGCTCAGAAAAGCTGAGCAAGACGCCGCAAAGAGCCCGAACACTGCTGTTGAAGTCTCATTTTGAAGCATGACAGATCACGACTTTACCAGACACCATTCCATGTCTTTATGTGGATTATTTTTTCAAGACTTAAGTCTCTTACATTTAAGTATTGCAGCGATTAAGTCAATTAATCAACTTGCTGGACTGCTTGACGATACATCAATCTTTTTCTTACCGAGAAATGATTGCATGCTTCCAACTTTATGCAAACAGCCTGAGGAAGCCCCAGACCTCAAGCCCACCCAACAATTTTGGGATGATCTAGAGCAGAGATTTTAATTTGTCGAAATAAAACATATTCCCAGATGATGTCCATATTTTCTTTATTTTTACTTCTTCAAGGTTTCCCAATACTTTTGCGTGGTTAATTTCTGAAATCCTGATATTTAATGTGTGAGAGACCCAACATTAGACCATGTATATGGACATTTTGTTCTTATAATGTTTTATTTTCATCCCTTAATTAAAAGTCAATTTTACAAAGAAGAAGACATACTATTATGGTTATTATTATTATTATTAGTAGTAGTAGTAGTAGTATTAGTAGTAGAATTCGTACTGGTAGTAGCAGCAGCTATGCTAGTTATCTGGTAACTCCACCGCAGTGAAAATGTCTTGCCAGCTCTTCTTGTCATTTCTACAATAGTAGGACTGATTTTAAAAATACTCGTCTCTCTCACTTTGAGCTAAGCACTGTTGCTGGTTGGCGTGAATTGTTTGTTATACTGATAGACGCTCTGTCTTCTTGATTTAGCTTGCTTCCTGATTGGATATCGTCACGTTTCACGTGACAACCACAGAGTCAGTGGCTTGAGGTCCTCTGTAGATTAAAACGACATTCATAAATATTGAACATGTTTACCATTATTAAGATCAAGTCAACTTTTTTACAGCTGGAAGCCAACCATGCGGGAATGTAAACATTGCGTTGTCACATGACACAGATGTACAGTGACACACACACTCATTGTATATTACTGCAGAACCGCGTCATGGTCAATGTAGCTGGTTGTAAAATAAAACAAAGCTGTATGTATAAAGAGAGGTTTTGCGAGTGTGTGTCATGTATTTTATGTTCAAAAAAATAGCATATTTTGTATTCATTCATTATCATGTTGGGAAAAACGTGAATTTTCCAGTTGTCTTATCACATCTTACCCTAGTTTTTTGTACATTTTACTTTTACCCACACTGAAGTTCCTCCTGGTTTTGTGTACTTAAATTCATATGAGGTGACTGGGGTTGAGATACTTAATGTAAATATTTATATATATTGCTCAAGCCTACCCCAGCTCTCTCAGGTGAAAGGTGGGATACACACCAGGGTCTGGTCGTCAGCCAGCTGCAATGCAGTAGGTAACTATTTATTACAGTAAAAAAGTTCAAAAAGCCAAATAAAGTTGAGTTGAGTTTCCAAAAAGCTACATTGCCTTATAACTCATGTGGAATTGAGTCAATATGTACACGTAGTAATCACAGTGAGCTTTACATGATCCAAGTACAGAGTCACAAACACTACAGTCAATACAAGAGCTAGTTCTTACTACTACTACTACGACTTGGTACACTGAAAAAAAATGGGGTGTTGCATTTTTTCAATTTTATTTTGTCAAGTGATTGCACAAAACAAAATCATCTGGATTCAGATACATTTTTTTCCAGTAGCCTATACATCTACTTAAAAATGTAGTCAGTGCTTCGTATCAGTGCCATTCTATTTTTTGTGTGTGTTTTCCATAGCATTTGAATTCAAACCTACAGGCCTGTTGGTGAGCAGAAGGTAAAAAAAAAAATATTCATTCATAAAAAGAAAAAGTGTAATATCATGTCAAGTGGAAGAGCTGAGACATATGCAAATCAGGAATATTTGATAGAAATGAGTCAGAATGAGATATTTTGCATATTGGGTTCCAGATGATAAAGATGCACCAACTTTGTGCCAGTGAGATGTCTTGGCTAAATTTGGAGATCGGCGTGTTGCGTGTTTGTTTACCATGCAAAAGGCTAACCTCATCATGATAATCACTTGTGATTCGTTGGTCATTAGTGAGTCATCCTTTATGTAAGAGCTCCAGTGTGACCACTGGATGTAATCTTGACCAAAAAGAAGTTCACTTGTTAATGATGTCCAGCCGCATGAGTGTCTCATCCTTTAAACATAACAGACTCACATTTGGCACATCAACAAGTTTAATTAGGTCTTTTATTTATGCTTTAGCTGAGTGTTATCTTGTGTCTACTAAAAGACGGACCTGTGTGTCTGACTGCATATGTGACTGAAACCCGATAAGACACTCCTGCCACCTACTGTTTGTTCAGTCATTTGACAAGATGAAAAAAAAATATTGGTGATGGGGCACAAATAAATAAATGTTTATGAAGGAATTAAAAAAACAAAACAAAGAAGTAATGTAACAACTATTGCAGGACAGAAAATTTCATTTAGATCTTTACATTTATTTTGGGGTACTGTTATTCTAACTACAACGGTTTGATTTGCCCTGTCCTTCAACGACATGTTTATCATCAGCTTTTGTAGCATCTAAAAAAAAAAAAAAACCCGCACATCACATACGATACAACCCCAATAATGAATATGTTGTTAAAGGAATACTCTTGACTGTCAATCAAAACTGAGCCCAATGCACATTTTTATGCGTATTTGATCCACAACTGTTTCCCATTCACTCAATTCACAAGATGTATCCGTATTTCCAGTGTCCAGTGTATTTAAACAAGTCCCATTAGTCTGAGTGGAACATTGTCAAACAATGAGACATTGAGACTCATTTTCCCGCATGTCATTACGTAGGAAGCTGTTAGCGAAGCGGAGGAAATTAAAGGGGAAAAAGTTGCTGTGGCACGAGCAGCTCTGGCGGAATGCAATAAAGACATCACTCGGGATAATCTGAAGATTTAGTCTCTATTATAAGAGCAGCAAATGAATGAATTGCCAGTCGTCAGATGAAGACATTCTATGTTTAACAAGGCCTAATGTGGATTCGATCAATCTGAGGTCATCATTTTACACATTTGACAAGTTATGAGGTGGCGAAAATACCCCGAGCTTATTTGCATGTCATTTGAGTCCTCTTTTTTTCAACAGATAACACCAGCAATAGATGCGGGAAGCAGATGTTCCGTTCACAAGATAGTGCCGACTCGTGTGCTATAACGTGAGTCCTCTCGCATTTTGCTGTCTCATTGACCTTAATTAGCACTGGCGCTAGACGTTAGCATTCAGGCGGACGATATGAAAAACATCACATGCGCCTATAAATGCCACAGCCGAGCTGGCATTTCAGCAGTTTTATCCGCAAAAAGTCGCCTTTGTCCACTCTGAATACAAGACAACTTGGAGGCGTAATCGCACATCATTGCCTCAAACGTGAGCGCGTAATCACTAACTGTCCATTCACACCCATGTGCGTGATGAACCTCTTTTAGACAACAGTCATTCACTTTTACATGTCGTAAAAAAAGATTAACATGCATTCATACACTTAGGGAACATTACTGAAATGTATGCTAGCCTCCAGAAGTATTTGAACTGTTTGTGCGTTGTATGTGCAATGGCTAACATTTGCCATCGGCATTCACCCACATAAGCAAAATACGAAAAAAAAGAAAACTTATTATTACAAATGATAGACATGTTTATTTTATTTTTTTGGGAGGGGGGGGGGGGTTCAGCTCGACAATGACCAAAACGTTTTCATAACCTTGCTATGTGCTCAGTGGAGGCTAGTGATGGAGTGCTTAAGCTAACATGACATACTGTAGATGAGATATGCGGCTCATGTGTTTCTTATGTGTATGAAACATGAGAGTCATTTTAACGTAGTGTAAGACATCACAAACCAACTGTGAAATTCTGTTCAGCGATGTGGCGTTCACACGTTCACATGCGGCGGCCCATTGCGGGGAGTCATAGGCGTTATGTCGTAAACGCATATGAAATTAGCTGCGATTAAAGCGCATGGATGCATGAATGAGACTTCAATGGAGATGTGTGATTTTAACTGTTTACAACTTCTGCCAAGGCTGAACAGTCCTATTTGGCGCCAATAGACATGTTACAGTATATCTTCATGGTTGCAACCCCCCCTGCTCCTTAATATGTCTAAAGTGTTTCATTTTTCAGTCATGGAATTCTTCCATTTTACATTTTGCTTTATTCTTTGTTCACACCCAAAATGGAAGGTTAAAAAAAATAGGGACGAAAAAAAGCCAAATTCTTGCAATTTGCAAAACACTAAAATCACCTTTATCCAGATCTGCATCAAATGTAAAAAATTCTTTCATGGACAGATTTGGAGCACACACAAAGAGAATGATGTAGATGTAACTCCTTTCAGTTGTAATAGTATGGCAATGATGCATAAAGTAAGACCTCCCTTGTAGTAAAGGAGAAATGTAAGTTCTATTATCAGATAATGATTTTGAACACAATAAATACTATAACAATGCACAAGCAAAAGAAAAGTTAAAAGCTGTACTCACAAATTAAATGTAATCATTCAATATTACGTGGGGGGGCACATATGGGTCTGAATCATAATTATTGCAAATGTGTCATATTCTTTGTCATGTGCTCTCTCAAGAGCATTTAATTGAAGATAACATGACTAATAGTACAGTAGTAAATAAATCAGGGAAGTGTGTTATTTTAATGACGTCACCTTTATGATTCGGAACAACCTTACAATTTTTCTATTGCATTGTCCTTCCATCCTTTCATTTTGTGTCGAGCTTCTCCTCACTTTACTGAGCAGGAGCAATATCCCAGCAGACCCTGGGTGAGAGGCGGGTCACACCCTGGACTGTTGCCAACCAATCGCAAGTCACATACAGCATTGGCAAACACCCGTTGTTGTCACTCACACATTCATGGACAATATTTACTCTTAATAACCCTAACATGCATGTTTTGGAATATACAGGAAATCCAGATTACCCGAAGAAGAAAAGCAACACAAGCACAGGGGAAACAAAAACTATTGCATTGTCGGTTAACAAATTCAAATGAAAAGATGTAATAGCTAAGTCATTAACTACTTTCTAATGAATTACTTAAAATATGTTTTTGCTATTAGATATAGCATGACACGTGTGTCATACGAGAGCAAGAAAAAAAATGCTGAATCGCCTCAGTGCAATAGAGGAATAAAATCAAAAGCGAGACCGATTAAAGTAACATAAAATCACGTGTATAAACACAAACGGGAGTGCGTGTGACATATTTGACAAACAATGAAAAAGAGCAGCATGATTCCAAACAATGACATTGTAGTCACCTCAAAACTCCCTCCAGGAAATTACGGGTTGTAGTGACTTCTGTGTACATAATTCACCACCAACTGCAAATGTGTGAATGCAATGTTCATATGCTTGTCAGAGAGTTCACGATTATTTGGTAACGGGGTAGAAATAATTGCAGTCCCTTTAAGGACCGCCATTTTAGTCTGCTTGTTTCTATGGAAACTTACTTTCGGCGGGCTTCGTTTGGCACGAGTGTTTTTTTTGTGGTGCAAATAAAAAAAAACACGACACACTCTCTCTCGGAGTGCGCACGTGAGAAATTGTCGCTTTCTTCGAGTTCTACAATTTCCACAGGGTACACCATGTCAACAAGAGAACATAACGTGCCCAACTACATTTGTTTTTCCTTTGGCTGATCAAATGTGTATTAAGGAACATTTATTTTGTGTTCTGTATTTATTACCCACTTTATTAAACTGACATCGACATCATTTCGCTATGGTTGCTTTCAGTGATGGGCAATGTTTGATTTATGATACCAGCTGGCTTATTATAATCAAACATCACAACCTTCGTTATGTTATCGGCTTTGGATCGGGAATGGTTGGGAGTAATATAAATCATTAACTGGTCAATAAGATTTTCTTCCTCAGAACCTTGAATTGTTTTTAAGAGTCAGGTGTACTTGTTAGATTTAGTTAAAGTTGGAGTATTTAAACTGAAAGTAATTCTTCAAAAAAGAAGTGCAAAGTGCTTGCTTCAAGCTGTTCACTGCCATTTCCAGTTAAAGTTTACTGTAAAAGTAAACATCAAACATAATTAACGTTTTGTATTAAACCAAGCCCATATGTTTGCTTTAAGAAAGTCTGCTATTTCAATGCTAACTGTCATGATGACAAAAGACACATTAAAAATTATGTGCCACGTTTGGACATATTTGGTTGGGGGGAGGGGGGCACATAGACCATATTATAGTCAAGAAAATGTTTGATTTGACTCCCCCCTTCAAAAGACTACAAAGTGTTTAGTAAATTAACAACTGTAATTTGTAGCCTTACCTGTAAAACCGAAACATAATAAATCTGATGTTCTTTAATGTAATGCTGCTTAATTTTTCACTTGTGATTGTTCAAAAATATACCATGGAAGAGGACCTTGAAAAATTAATTGCGTATGAAATGCCAATCGCAGTATTGAGGTGGGGAAATTGCAATTCGATTCCTGTGTTTTTCTAACGCGTTCACACAGCCGAGCTGTCTTTGAACCGAGCCTGTGGCAGCTTTTTCAGGTCTCCCCCTCCCCCATCTTGTTCCCGCCCTCGTATCCTGAAGTGACAACTCAACACAGCGTACGCGAGTAGGCGGGACTTCCGTTTGTCGCTAGCACCCGGAAGACGAAGACAGGATGCGAGTTTTTCCAGCGCCTGACGCCGCATCCATATGCTCGCCCCTTAAACACGTTTTCATGTGAATTTCGGTGGGGTTTTTTTTACGCTCTTTTCATTCTGCACGATGTTATCGTTTGATTTCCTCGACGACGTGCGTCGCATGAACAAGCGGCAGGTGGGTGGATTGGCTTCACTTTGATTCTTTGTGTAGGCAAGACTAAGAGACCCTCTGGGCTAACGGTCACTAGCCACCAACACACGAAAAAAAAAAAAAACTCGGTGCTCTTGATATCAAATAAACTGGACATTAAGTAGTGTGATGCTAACATGAAGTTGCCGAGCCGGTTTGAGGAACGGCCCGGTCGCGACTTCCTACAGCATTGTTGAAGCCTCGAAGTTGTCCTTGGTCTTCAGACTCGTCAAAATGTTTGTCATAAAGGAGAGGGGTTCACAAACTTTTAGGGTCCAGCATTTTTTTCTTTCAAAGGAAATAATTTTAACGCCAATTAAACACAACATGTGCAAGGCTAAATGTTATTTTGGATTTTTGTTAACATTTAGCCTAAAAATGCATGAACATTTTGATAGCTTTATTCATCGCGCATGTGATTTAGACTGTCAGAGCAACTGTATTCTCACACATGCACTCTTATTAAGAATTTCAGAATAACCAAGCAGCGGCATTGAGATGGATTTAAAAGAACACCAAAAGCTCAAAATTTCAAACTCTAATTAGTAATTATTCTCATTTCTGTAGTCCCCCAAGAAGGCAGCGTGATTATCTTTGTGTTGATTGATGAACATTTTTGCCATTTCAAACAATGGCACAGACCAAACCAGTAACTGAATCTTCATTTTGTGCCAGCTGACAGTTTCCACGTGAAGACATTTTGATGGACAGGCATACGAACAAATAAAAATACATGATGACAAACAGTTCACCACTGGCTCTGCTTCAACAAGACTGCTCGTATGCTATATTCTGATCTCGAGACATATGCACTGCATCACAGCCAACATGAATGTCATCAGAGACAAACTCGTTTACACAAGACCAATCAGTGCCTACAATTTAGCAATTTGTGTGCATTTCCACTGATCAAATAACGTTGAATGAAAAAAATGTGTGTTGCAGCTCTATTACCAAGTGCTGAACTTTGGCATGATCGTTTCCTCTGCTCTGATGATCTGGAAGGGTCTGATGGTGGTCACCGGCAGCGAAAGTCCCATTGTTGTCGTTCTCAGGTACGTCCGGAAAAGCACCCTCTCAGCTTTTCCCAATGGTCTGGAAAAAGCTTTTTGTCAAGGGAAGCACAGTGTCCTAGGGAGTTGCACGTCTGCCTGATACGTTAGCGGCTGGCTGTTTACTGGCTAGCCAGTCTGCGTTTTGAGTGCCTGGTTGTCAGTTGTGACTGTAGAAGCACTGAATGTGTGTGTGTGTGTGTGTGTGTGTGTGTGTGTGTGTGTGTGTGTGTGTGTTTACTTTTTTAGTGTTTGAAAAATTTTGCAAAAAATTGCAAATTTCCCCAGTGTGGGACAAATAAAGGTTATCTTAAAAGCGGTTGTGTCGATCCCTCACCAATTTTGGGGCCATTCCACCGGTAGGCTATTTTGAATTAGCATCACATGAGCATACCCAGAAAACAGATGAGCCGGGAAGTTTCTAATGCGAGCCCGAGGGCATTTTTGATGTTAGCTTCAGTCGACAGCGTGAAGCCTTTCTACGTAAAATATCAGCCTCCTTGGATAACTGAAAACATTGATCTGTCAGCTTAATTCTTATTCCATCCACGCAGTATTAATCAGAATACTTTTTCTACTAGTCATAATCACCATCAGGTGTTTTTCCAAATTGAGACATTTAGGAAAGGGTAAAAACAATGTGAATGGGGATTAGGATGATTTTTTTCACTTACTCTTAGCTTAAAACCCACGTATTAACCATGTTCCAATGCTGGTTTGACTGATCTCTCCTGGTATTTCTTATTATTTAGTTTACATAGTGGCTCACAAAAGCAGCAAGAAGAAGCAGTGGCATTCTTATGCCGATTCATGCTAATGCGGTTCCTGTTCTCTGTAAAACACTTGAAGGCAGACATTTGACAATGGGCCGGGAGTTCTGTCAAAAAGGAAGCTTTAACAGGACACACATGTCGTGAAGCTGTGAAAAGGATGATGTTAAACACTCTCTTTCCGGCTCATTTCAGTGGCAGTATGGAGCCAGCTTTCCACAGAGGAGACCTTCTCTTCCTCACCAACCGCGTGGAGGACCCCATCCGGGTGGGCGAGATCGTGGTCTTCAGGATAGAAGGCCGGGAGATCCCAATAGTACACAGAGTCTTAAAGATTCATGAAAAGTAAGACTGAATTCAGTTTGAAGTGTGGAATGCCAATTTTCCAATGCGGAAGATAGGGACCAAAATGGTGTCTGCGCTTCTGTTTCCAGGGAAAACGGAGACATTAAGTTCTTGACCAAAGGGGACAATAACGCTGTGGATGACCGAGGTCTATACAAGCAAGGTCAACACTGGTTGGAGAAAAAGGATGTCGTGGGACGAGCGCGGGGGTAACTAAAGCGCATGCGTGCACGTAAACACACACACGCACTTTGATCATTTGTTCCCAAGTGGCTCCGTAAATGGTCTCTGACAGTCTTTGATCAAAATGCACAAATGATAAAGAATTAAGGCACGACGCTCGCATATTCACCTGTGACGCTCGGATTCAAATCTCTTTATTTATGGCAACGCTATCTCCTGCAAATGCTGAGTATGACTTTGGTTGCTATGGCGACTGTTGCTATTTAGTGTTTCCGACTTTGTCACTATACTTAGTGACTTTTTAGAAACCCAGAGCGGCTATTTGACAAAATAAAATATATATATATTGTGGTATTATTGCAGACTCTAGACTGCAAATAAATGGTGCTTGTGCGCAGCCACCACTCGCTAATTTGTAACTCGTGGCACCTTCGTTCTTACTACCTTACTTGGTCGTTTGGCATCCTTGATAGTTGGGCAGACAGCAATGTTATATATTGTGAACAAGCAATTAAAAAGTTGGGGGAAAATGCATAATACATTTTCTTGTGCATATTCCTCATTCCTCGCCTTCACCTTCTCTTAACATTTTGTTTTTGTGCCATACAAAAGCAAAGAAAAAGCAAAATGGTCCTGTACATTGTACACTGTACATTTCATATCAGCACTTCACTGCAAGGTCAACCGCACAAAACGTCTTGAGTCCATCGCTAGATTTGGGGATTAAACGTCCGTGGTCTTCGACAGCTAATTTCCATTGAACAACCTTTGGGGTCAGGGTAGATTCATACTCTGCCTTCTTCATGTGTGTTTTCCATCATGTACAAGAGGGAAATCAAGGGACGCTGGGCACTGAACGTTTCCTTCACGTCATATGTTCACCTCTTGATGAGCCTGACCTTGCTTGCTCATTTTAGATAACCCTCTTATGAGGAATTTCCCAAAGCCTAGTGCACGATGCAAGGCCAAAAGTGATCTTGACCAAGTCAAGCGAGTATTATCATTGATTTATCAAGTGAGACTCCACGTTGAGCTAAAAAAAAGAAAAAACCTGCAGAACTGCAAAAAGACAACTTCCTTACATTACAAATGAATCAATGTGCTATGCTGTGGCGCTGAGTCAGCTGTTGTCTTTTCTCCAGGTTCGTGCCATACATTGGAATCGTCACCATCCTCATGAACGACTACCCCAAGTTCAAAGTAGGTTTGACCACTTTGTGGCCAACTTAATGTAGGGCTCCGTGAAACATTGTAACATGTCTGCCTTGTCCTTGCACAGTATGCCGTTCTCTTCATGCTGGGTCTCTTCGTGTTGATCCACCGGGAGTGAAATCTGCGTCCACGAATGAGAAAAAAAACAACAAAAAAATGAGTCATGATGCCTCCAGCGCAGCAAATGTGTTCCTTTCTGTCCATCTTTTCGTTTTGTACCATTTGTTGGAGCATTTTGTAGAAATGGGAATAGCTTTAAAATATTTTTGTGAGGGAACAAGGCTATTATTAATTATTATTTTCAAGCGGAGCATTCTTAAATAATTTAAGTTTAAGCACTGTTTTTTTTTCTTGTCTACTTACTGTCTTTGGGGAAAAAAAACAGATGTGAAGTATTTTATGACAACTTAATATGAACATTAATTAAATATGGAATCTGGTTACCATCCATATTGATGCATTTTTCTTGATTTTTAAAAAAACTTTTTTTTTTGTTCCTGTTTGTGGAATAGTTTAGAACTTGGTCAAGTGTTGTGATTGATTTTTAATATCTGGCATCGTTTTCTGGCACAGCTCCACAAATATTTTCCTTTTCTATGGCACATTTAGTAGAATTCCATACAACATATTGTGGCGTAATTAGAAAAAAAATGTTTTCCTTTCATTGAAGTGTCAAAAATATATATTTTGGAAATACTTTTTAAAATGTACCCTTGTGCTATTATTTTGTGGAAACATTTTTGCATTCTATGATGATGTACTGTACATGGTTTGAAGACTTGTCATATTTTTAAGCAGTGATGCTCACCTGGTTGCATTACAAACTTAATTCACGGTTTGAAAAAAAAAGAGTTGAACTCAAATTTAAAGGCAACAACCCGAAACATTTTAAGTAAAGCAATTAAACTAACGGTTAAAATGTTTTGCTCCCATGACAATTGACTTTGAAACCATTTCCGAACAAAAAAAGTACCGCTAGTTTGTAAAATGTCCCTTTTATTGAAGCCCATTTTATTTGTTTTCCATTTTTTGCCACATTACCCAGGGGTACAAAACTTTGACGCCAGAAAATCCGGATGTCGTCTCTACACCTGCATCTGCAGATGCTTGCCCCTCAACCCTAAAAAGGACCACCATACACGTTTAAAATAAAAATGAGGATAAGCAGTTCATCAAAACTGGCAACTTGTGGCCGAAGATGACCCGGTGATCCCCACAGTTTCCTAATTGAGCTGACATTCATCTGTGTGTGTGTGTGTGTGTGTGTGTGTGTGTGTGTGTGTGTGTGTGTGTGTGTGTGTGTGTGTCAGCATGTGCGTGAGAGAGAATGGCAAAGGTTATTCAAAAAGCAAGGCGCACAGCCGAAACATGCCGCTTTATCACCTCCAAAGTATCAAAGAGTCCATGCATGTCTTAACAGCTTCTCGTGTCCTTAGAACACCAGCGTGCGGATGAGAGCAGCGTGTTGCAACCACTCCGATGTCATGTGGCTCATTGTCGGAGCCAGTCAGGGACCCTGGCAACAAATGCTCATGCGGTATTGCTCAATATATCACTATTATTATATCTTATTATTATGCAAAAACATGGCAGATTCTGAATCGGCACCAAATATCTAGAAAGTTGCTCTTGGTATCTCTGATTAAACTAATCAGTAAAAGTTAATCGATTGGGTGTTGATTAATCGATGACATTTTGACACTTCTAGTTTTATCCAGACACTTGCTTTACTGATTGTATTGTGCAATTTTATTTTTCATTTTATTTTCATCGCTGGCACCACAGTGACTTTCACTGGGGGAAAGTTAGTTTGAAGTCTTGCCTGACAGTCAAAGGGTTCGAGGTTCGAATCTTAGCGCACATGTTCTCATCATGCTTTCCTCCTGGACCTGCGCTCTCTCCCTTGCCTTCCAAAAACATGCATGTTTTGTTCACAGATGACCGCCTAAATCAGCGGTCCCCAAACTTTTTCCTGTGAGGGCCGCATAAGCTTTGCTTCTGTGATGGGGGGGGGGGCGGGGTCAGTCTGGAACAGAAAAAGGGTGACCGCAAGAGTACGGAAATGTAAAAATGGATTGTTTTCCAGAAACCCACACAAAATGAAGCCGCCTCTTGACAGATGAGACTGACAGACGTTTCTTTGCGCTGAAAGAAACAAAAACAAAAACATCGTTTGTCCACTTTGGGTTAAATACCCCGCATTCTATTTTTCTCTTACCGAACCTTTTCGCCATGATCCCGTTCTCTGAGAGAGGGGCCGGTTTCGGATTTTTTTTTCTGGCGTTGCCAGATAACGGCACAGAAAGATGCACCAAATGTCACCTTATTGTATCTGTGTTTATGAAATAGTTACTAATTAATAGTTAATAATGAAAACGGTTCAGAACTAAGGAACATTTTATTGCAAAAGCCCAACTTTGTGATCAAAGACAAATCCACATCGATGAAAAATAAATCAAAATACTCTGTGGTATTTTCAGGGGGCCGGACCAAATGCGGAGGCGGGCCGGATCCGGCCCGCGGGCCGTAGTTTGGGGACCCCTGGCCTAAATTGTCCAGAGGTCTGAAAACATGAGTGTCGATGCTTGTCTGTGCAACCGGTCCAGTGTGTCCCGTTACTCTTGCTCAAAGTCAGCTGGCTGCGCACCTTCGCCAAACACAACCATGCTGTCACCCGCACAAAGTCAACAACTTCACCAGGTAATCGAGTAAATGTCACTTGATCAGAATATGCTAATCTCCAACAAAACTCAATGCAGCTCCGCTTACCTTGTGCAAAGCCACCGTTGTTGCCCAGCGGACTTATTTTCTGCTTATCTGTTTTCCAGGCTAGCACTGGCTAATTGAACTAAGAAAACATTTCTGAACTAATGAATCTGTCTCGAGTTGTGTCAATGTTGTGATTTTTATAAAAGTGTGGGCTAATAATTAACGATACTGTGTGTGTGTGTGTGTGTGTGTGTATAAATGATTCAGAACACACACAGTGAGTAAAGCGCATCATCAGTGGAGGGGGTGGGGCCTGGCCAGTATGGCCTATAAAAGTGGGAATGATGCTCCCTCAACCACACGCACTCACGCTCACACCGTGTTAGACGTGTACCATGAAGGGTCTGACAGTGAACTTGTGCTGGTGTGGCTTCTTGACTTCCCTTGTCGTCCTCTCTCTCGCTTCTGTCAGCACGGCAGTCAGCTTCGACCTCACCGAGCTGAGGAATAAAGTGTCCAAAATTAAGGTGAATCCCAGAGGGAACCTGTGGGCGACAGGTAAGAGCAATGGTTTATTAATTATGCAGTCACGAAGTTGATTTTGTATAACAGCCAAATCTCATGTAATGTTTCATATTAAGTCAATTCTTTTTTGAAACTCTTTTAACTCCTGTTCTGTACTATAGTTTTACCTGTCAAAGTTAACAAAAAAAATCTTATTGAATTGGCTTTTTATTGACTACTACTGATTTTCTTCAGTTATGAGCATATCCAATAGTCAAAACCTTATGTACTGTACTCATGTTTTACACATTTTACTTAACTTCCTTTTGAATTGACGATTTTTATGAAGCAATATTTTTACAATCCACAATTTTTACAATAACTATTTTTCTGTTGTCGTTCCCTCCCTTTGGAATGACCTTCCGTTAAACAATAGGCAAGCCCCTCGCTCCATCTCTGTCCATCTTTAGAACTTGTCTTAAAGCACATTTTTATTCTCTGGCTTTTGAATCGGCATTGTTTGCACATTTTATTGTGTTTACTGTTTTTCTGTTCTTAATTTGGTGTTTTACGCCAGGAACCACGTTTTTGTTTGGATTTGTGGTTGGTTTTGTTTCTTGTTATATCTTGTTTGCTTGTGGTTCATGTCTTTTTCTGTTTGGTTGGGTTTTTGTGTTCGCCAGTTTTCGTCAGCCCGGTTCCTTGTGTCTTCCAATCACCTTCCTCAGCCACTTGTGTCTCGTCGAGGCATTTCTCGTTTAGTATTTTTGATTCCATATGCCTTGTGTACCTTTTATTTTATATCGGCGGAAAAAAATACATACATAAATGTAGTTCAGCTGTCTAATGATAATGATTTGCGTTTTGTGAAGGGCATTTCATGGGCAAGAAGAGTGTGATGGAAACCCCGCTGCTGTCATCCACTGAGGCCCAGGGGGTGGGAGCCTTGGAGATCTCCCGGACACAGGGACACAGCGGCCTCAGCGAGCTTTTCCGGAACTTCCTCCATGCGGCCATGCAAGCGCAGGTGGACTCGCAAAAGAGCCGCTTGAAAACTGAGGTGAGGTCTGTTGCTCTAAATTATATGATAAAAGGATGCCGCATTTGAACATTTTTTTTTACCTAGAATTTTTGTATTTTCACCTAGAATTACTGTCGTTTTTCCTTTTAATTTTTCATTTTCTTTCAAATATTTTACATTTTATTCCTAGTATTTAGTATTTATTTTTTTTCATATTTTTTTCCGAGCATTTTATGTTTATTTAATTTTGTTTTCCCGATATTTTTGCTTCTGTTGTCCTAATATTTTGGTGTTGTTGTTATTTTTTGTACTCTCCCCTTCTAATCTTCTTCTAATATTTATATACAATATACATATGTTATATTTTTATGCTTCTTTTCTATTAATATTTTTTATTTGTCTATTTTTGTGTTTTTCCTACTCCCTCTGAGTAGGAAGGGAGTAGGAAAAATATTTTTGTGTATTTTTCATCAGCTAGATTTTTGAAAAAAATAAATATTGTAGTATTTTGTGTTTCAAAAGTGCTTGTATGTCCCTGTGCACGTGTGACTGTTACAGGAGGCGGAGATGCTAATGAGGATTTTGGAAATGTACACGCAGAGAAAGTGATCCACCTTGATCGCCATTAAGGGCAGTACATTGCTCACAATGATTGTAATTCACCCTCATTTTTGTGGCATTCACAATCATCAATTTTTTTTTGTTTTGTTTTTGCTGCAATATTTGGTCTTGTTTGCTTATTTGTAGTCAATAAAGTTCACAGTTTCACTGCTGTCACTCCACGCTGACATGCAGCAAATACAAGACCTGCGAAGATTGTGACATCATCCATTGGCTATTGTGTGAGCGATAAAGCTTCTTCCATTTTTCTGCAAAAACACATCCACAATAGAACTTGTATAAATGTGGGCAGATTATATGAATCATGTTTCCACTTGCCTGAAAATGTTGTATGAAATCAATATGGACTTTTAAATGCTTGGTTAAAAAAAGCAATCTGCCCTCACGATCAATAATAGGGAAGGAGCTTACCTTCTAGTTTTAGGCTGAGCAACAAACACTATGTATAACATTATAAAGGGTGGAGCTCGTGCTTGAAAGGTGTGTTATAATTGGGCAGCCAACAGTAAAACCACTTTGTAAAGTCTTTTTTCTATTCACCTGTGTTCATTTTGGAGGATTAAGTTCCTATTTAACTGGCTACTGTAACCATTACGTTCATCTCATTTATATATACACACTATGTGACGGATATTGGGATAAAATGTGGCCAATAAAAACACATGAATGGATAAAAAATACTGCAGTACTTTTTGCTCTCTGTCTCCATTTAAACCCAACATAATGCCTTGTTCTTATTTGACCAAACATAATCTAAAAGAGTCATTTGTCAGGACTAGAACAGGGATTCTCAAACCCAAGTGTGAGGCACAACTCCCTTGTGGCTGGCCACAGGATTTGCGGGGTCGCCTGGCAGCTTTAGAAAAAAAATGTGATTTACATGGTACCAGGAGAAAAAATGCTATTCCTGCAAATATGACTTTTTGTTCACATATTATCTTGCCTATGTCATATTGAAAATGTCATTATTCTCATCAACAAAATGATATATATGATATGACATACAATATTTTGAGAAAAGAAAACGATATCATTTCGATACCATAGAAATCCCTTTTTTGACAGGATAAACAATGTTTTTCAATTCAAGTTGATTGTGATCAAAGAACAGACCTAATTAAACAAGAATATTATCCAAACCATCCATTATCCAAACCACCTATCCTCATGAGGGTCGTGGGCATGCTGGAGTCTAACCTAGTTGCCTTCGGGCAGGCGGCTGGGTACACCTTGATTTTGTTGCCAGCCATTCATAGGGCACACAGACAAAACAACCATTCTCCATCACAATCACACCTAGGGACAATTTAGAGTGTTCCATTAACCTGCCGTGCATGTTTTTGGAATGTGGGAGGAACCCGGAATACCCGGAGAAAACCCACGCAGGAGATCGGAGCCCGGATTCGAAACCTCGACCTCTGTATTGTGAGACGGATGTGTTGTTTCAATCCAACAAACTTTCGTCACAAATAACTGTTTTCCATCAAGGTAGTACATGTGCAAACAGTGCAATTATTAAAAAGATGGAATCCGACAAACCACATTTTAAGCTGTGAAGTTCACAAGGCCCTAAAACTAAAATTTGCAGTCAAGACGCAAAGGAAGTAAACATCTCCTGCTCTAACTGCGGGAGTCTCAAAATTCTCCAATAAAACCAGAAACAAATGCCAGATTTTTTTTCCGAGTTAAAAAAAAAGGTTCAGAGTGGCATCTGAACACTAAGTTGTTAAGGTGGCAACACTGTGTCAATGTATCATTCTATTTCTCTATATCCGTAATCATTTCACTAAATACTGTGGGAACGAAAATGCAGATTTGAGAAGAGAATACGAACTGTGGTACAAATGTAAAAGTTATGTTCTGAACAAGTTTCAAAAAGATGACACAGATACATGGAGAACCGTTTAACTCAGTAAACTATTGCTGGTAATAGTGTGACGCATTAAAGACAGCGCACCAAAAGGATACTAATGTCCATGTTAGCTTGATCTTCTGACAGGATACTACGCGAGTAAATATTTCAAGTCATTCTGAGCATCTGAATAAAAGATTTCAGATTATGAGGATTGTTAAATATGTATTAGCCATGATGACGTAGGGGCTTTGTCCCCATTAAAAAAAACTGAATGTTAAATCATTGAAGAATCAGGCGTGTCAAGTGGTTGTGGTGATATACTACCACCTTCTGACCGCGACAATATTGAATTTAAAAAATGATTTTATATTGCCTGTAATATTTTTTTAAACCATAAACGGATTTGAGTAAACAATGAACATATTACAGTATGTCGAACAATAATACACGTTACATGAGACCTGAAAAAAAATATATATATCAAAGATAGAAAATGCACTGAGAAATCAAAAAGTTCATTTTGGAATATCATAAACATGCACCTCACATGAACGAAAACTTTACATTTGAATAATAAATAAATACAGGTAGATCACCAACTACCCTTTCAAAACTATGAATAAATTTAGTCTTTTTTTCTGGTTGACCCGTAGAATTTGTAGGGTTTATTTAGTGAGTTAATTTTATATCACCAGTAGGCTTTTTATTAGCTAATTAATGTTTACCAGCAACTGACATAAAATGTCAAAGAATAATTGAACATATTTTATGAGATCTGAAAAAAATAACATAAAATGATGAATGATAAATCATGGAGAAAACAAATTAACAATTTTCAGTATTTTGTCTGAACGTATTATATGGCTGACTAACTAATTAAATAACTAATTAACTAACCATTGGTGAGATCACCAACTATCGCAACAAAATTAACCATAAATTTGATATTCCTTCATTTCAAACCCGGGTCGGCCCACTTGGTGTGACATTACATAGCACGTGACCTTTGTGCCGCCACCCCACGCCCCCCTTCACCTAGATGGTCGTGTTTTCATTGGTCCATCCCTTGAGAATCCGCACAGTAGGGCGGAGTCTCCGAAGCCATTTTATCATCAAAACAGTAAAAAAAAAGTGCAGCAGGTGCGTCGCTTTCTCCCCCTCGCACAGAGACAATAGCGATTTACACAACATTTATATTTTTATTTATATCGAGCGAACGATGGGTCAGTGTGGGATTACGTCATCCAAAACCGTCCTGGTTTTCCTCAATCTCATATTTTGGGTAAGCACAATTTGAGCACTTTTGAGCGATGTGCGGTGTCCCTGAGGAGGATGGACCAATGTTATTAGCAAACTAGCGCATTGCGACAGAGATGCACGTTCTCAATTTGGCATATAGCCGCGTTCTATTAGTAAGGAAAATAATTCATAATATAACAGTACATACATCGAACAACGTGAGGAGCGAGGCATAAAATTGCGTTGAGAGCCGCCATGACGTAACGAGACAGCTGTTGACCTGCTGTGCTACTTAAGCTAGGGTGACGCTAGCAGGTCAGCATCCCATAATATAAACACTCACCGGCCCCCTGCACTGACTTGCATCCAGTCCACCTATACAGTGTCAATAATGCTCTGTTTAGGGGTCACGGTTATGTTAAATTAACATGAGCATTTATTATTGTAGAGTTGGCGGTGATGCAGTGCACTGCGTTTGTGCGTAAATCGGGCCGCACTGTAGTGGAGGGACAATTACGGTGTGTATTTGTGTGGAAAATCATTTCTAGAATCAAATACAAAAAAGTAACCGTTACAGTAAGAATGTAGTATACTCTAGATTGCATTTTTACACCAAGCACTCTACATCATGAGGTCTCAATGCGGTTTCTACCTATTTTGTTTCATTTAGGAATGTCACTATCGAAGAGAACACACTATCATTTAAATTATTCCATCTGGTAAAATTTGATTTTGCATTAAAATGTATTTCAAAATCATTTTAACAGTTTATTATGATTCATGTGTTTATTTGGAATTGTTTAATGCCAAATAACATATAAGCAATATCACACTAGAGGGGAGTCTTCTACTGAAAATAATCACTCATGGAAGGATCGTGTCCTGTGAAACTGCGTGGTGGGAGTCAGAACGTCAATGGACGCTACAGCTTCTTGTTGCTTTCAAGCTTAGCTTGTAGCAGACATGTGCATATTTTCAGCATGACGTCTTTGATCCACTGGTGAAAAGGACATTTTAATTCGCTCCTCTTTCATCTATTACTGCTTCAAACAATAAAGTGAATGGAGGGAAAGTCGTTAAGATGGCACGACTGTCTGTTGTATGTGTTGTGTTGTATTATTTTGTAATTTTATGTTAAGTGTTCTTTTGATGGCGGGCGGGCCCCCGCAGTGGTTCCTCTTGTTGTCTTGTTGTCTGTTTAAGAGGGAGGAAATTTCATCTCTGCATTTGACAATAAAGTTGTACTTGACTTGACTTGAACTAACTGTTGGAAGCTGCAATACTAAATCATTCATAATGGAAAAAACTAACCCCTTTATTGCGTTCATCTAATTTTGCGCTTGTGGCATCAACTCAACTGACATTGCAGTAACAAAACATGAATAATACAGTACAAGGCTTGAAATAACTATTTCTTTGTGAAGCAGTTTTGCTCGTCAGTGGCCTCATCTGATGAGCAATTTTCCAATTTTGAGGAGCATGTTTTCACAGTTTATTCCCAGACAAGAATTTTATTCAACACTTTTAAAAAGCAAACTTAATTTCTAAAATGTCTTTACTTTTGTTTTGAGCACATGAGGTTTTGAGATATATGAGAACTAAAGATCCATATAAATATTTTTGTGTAGGCGGCAGCAGGCATTTTGTGCTATATTGGCGCCTACGTGTTCATCACCTATGATGACTACGACCACTTCTTTGAGGACGTTTACACTCTGATCCCAGCCATCGTCATCATCGCCGTGGGCACGCTTCTCTTCGTCATCGGTCTGATTGGCTGCTGTGCCACCATACGCGAAAGCTCCTGCGGCCTGGCCACCGTGAGTGCGCAGCTGCCGCTTCAGTTCGGACTGACGCCAGGATCAATTTTTAACTTTTTTTCCTTTACTCAGTTTGCTGCCATCTTGCTGCTGGTGTTTGTAACAGAATGTGTGGTGGTGGTGCTGGGCTACATCTACAGAGCCAAAGTAAGCTTCTTGCTCGTTTATCAAAGCAGTTTCACTTTGCTTCCACAGTCAGTCCTCGCCTGTTGTGCATGTAAAGTTTGAAATACTCATGTCAAAACTGAAAATCTGGAAATAACCCAAAATACTTCAATTAAAAAAAAAAAGAAGAGGTTGGCTGAGAAAGTATGTGTGTTCCAGGTGGAAGATGAGGTGAACCACTCCATCCAGAAGGTGTACAATGAGTATAACGGCACCAACACGGACGCTCCCAGTCGCGCTATTGACTATGTGCAAAGACAGGTGAGAGGGGTGGGGGGTGATACAAAAAACAAAAATTATCTCTTGTCATTCTAAACTTCGAGCTATGCTATGAGGGGGAAGTGTCTGTTAGGAGGGCGTCCTTTATTGCAACACTAAGATTCGCTTTTGGGTGAAATTTCAGGATTGGCCTATAATGCATTCAAACCTTTACAGGTGAACCTAATGTGACCTTCTCTAACTTTTGAATGCACATGTCCAACGGTTAAATGTTTCAGTACTTTTTACACAAGTTGTTGCTCTCTTACAAGGAGCTTAACAGCAAAATTCAGGCGTTTGATCCTTGAATCTGGAATCTCCTTGTTCAATTAGAGCTGGTCTTTAAAACAGTCGTCCTCACCATGCTGTTCACATTTTGACATCATGAGACCAAAGACGACAACACGGGCCTAATTTCATCTCTATGGACGGGGGAAGGGCTGTTGGAGACTGGTCTACCGCAAATGGAATGGCCTGCGCTTTCTCCAGACCTGAAACCTCTTGAAAACCTGTGGGATCAGATGAGTCGCCATGTAGAGGCTTAAAACACTGCACCCCAGAACCTCAATGACTTGAGCTCTAGTTAACTTTTTAATGTTAGTGTGTTATCATTGACATCCAAGAGATGATGTATCCGTTGACTACTCCACTGATGTCTGAAAATGTTTCCTATCTGTATTTTTAGCTTCACTGCTGCGGTATCCACAACTACTCGGACTGGAGGAATACTCGCTGGTTCAAAGAGTCCAAAAACAACAGTGTCCCTGTCAGCTGCTGCCAACCCAACATCAGCAACTGCACTGGCACCCTCGCCCGACCGGCAGACTTATACCAAGAGGTGCACGCACACGCAACAACAGCGCCAATGATTTTTTTTTTTTAATTTAAATTTATGTTAAACAAACAATTGTGTTCTTTCAAGTTGTTTACACTTACTTTTATTTTATTTTATTATTACTATTATTTTTTTTTTCTTTTAGGGTTGTGAAGCTCTGGTTGTGAAGAAGTTAAAGGAGATCATGATGTATGTCATTTGGGCTGCGCTAACTTTTGCATCAATACAGGTGAGGATGACTCATTTGCAAATTTGTGTTTGAAGTAGAAACCCTTAATCACAAAATTGGACAACACCCCCTGTCTGTGTGCCTGCAGATGCTCGGCATGCTCTGCGCTTGCGTGGTACTCTGTAGGCGGAGTCACGACCCGGCGTACGAACTGCTGGTCACCACTAACAGCTACGCTTGAAGGACTCGCGTGGCCAGCATTGCAAGGCGAGCATCACCATGTCATGCAACCGTAGTTCTATATTTAAGCTTAGGTATATAAACTCAAGCACACCTTGCACAATCCAATGAAGTAGCAAACACTGAAGACGTGATCCCAACACGAGGAACCGCCTATTTATTCTTATTACTGACATGCTTTGTGAGCTTTTTTTTATGTTCTTTTCCTGAATGATTTAAAAAGTTTGGCGTATGAATGGCTATCAGCATTAGTTCGTCGTTTAAAAATAAAATGAGGTCATTCAGTCAGAATAACCAAAAAAATAAATAAATAGGGTTAAGTCATCGTTGGAAATGTATGAGGATGGGGCAAATGAGTACTCTGAGTATGAAATTCAACAACAAAAAAAAACCTTTATACATATGTCATACCAGTCAAAAAAATGCATAATGAATAAGAAAAAATAAAACCCATAGACGCCGCTCCGGAGTATGTCACTTTTTCGGGGAAATTTTGTTGATAAATACCAAGCCCAAAATGAGTAGAGCTCTGACTCTGACCCCAAATCTCTGTGACCTAACGGTGGGTGCATTTGGAAATGCGCTCCCAGCGCGCAGTGTTTCGACTGTTCGGAAACTCAAGAGCGCTGTCTCTAGAAGCAGTGCATTGAAGAGAAACCCTTCGCAATGAAAGAAAATAAGGGGAAAAATTCACATGATTTAATTTAACAAATGTTAACATTTCGGCCAGCAGAGAAGAAAAACAAAACGAAACAAAACACTAAATAAAATGCATCCAGTAGCGAGCCAGTCACCATGAGGGCTAGCACTAGTAGCTAATGTCATTGGTCGAATCTTCTACCTCCTTTGGGACCCACATAGAATCAAAAGTAAACTCACTGAACAAAGCGGAGCGACATTAAATGCAATTTTTCTTTTCCACAATTTGTCGGGTTGAGGGGTGATTGAGATGCCCGTATTCTGAACTGCAGCTTCATTCTTTTGTACAAAATCCTACTAAATATGTGTGAGAATTGGCGGTGTGTGGTGATGTTTTTCCTTATGTGCTACTTTGTACTGTGATTGGAGCTTTGAAGACATTTTGTGGTTGTTTTGATGCAAATCAAACAAAAACCAATAGTGTTATTCCCCCCCCCCCCCCAAAAGTATGATTTAGCAGTGAAGCCGATACTTTATATTTCCCTTTTTGTTTTCATGCTGTGAATTTAGTTCCAAATCCGCTTCACTGTCGAAGCACTGAGCCAGTTGGAGCCCCAATGTTGTAAGTGGGTGTAAAATCAGTATTAAGCCTCCCCTTGTGTTTTCATCTGTTTAGTTTAATCGTCATATGCCCAATAGTAGGAATGACTTGTTTTATATATATATACAGTTATTTTTCTGTGACATTTTGCAATGTATTAATTTACTTGGCGCTATTACGTCAAACCCAAAATATTTTGCTGGAGCCGCAGGAAAAAAAAAAGAGCAACAACAATATTGTGTATAGCTTTGAAGAGGAAACAAATAAAATCGTACATTTCAATTTGACTGCTCCTCATTTATTCTTTTTCATTCATGAGTTGAGACAATGATGGAAATGTTTTTTTGTTTTTTTTTTTAACATGCAAACAATACATTCAGACTTAAAAAATAAAATAAAAATCTGGGGCGCTCTTCCAGACCTAACGTGAAGCAAGCAAGAGGCAAGATTTTTTTGGTTTTTGTCTTTGTAACGTGCTCTTTTCCATCAAGCAGACATTACATTGTTTCGTTGTTTAACTGTTTATTTTGGCTTCAGCTTTACAGTTGCCAGTTTCTGTTGTTCTCGTGGTATCTGCTGCAACCACCAGTTATTTTCTTAGCTGAGTAATAAAACAGGAGACATCGAATTGAAGTGTGGTGTTTGTTTCAGTGGAGGGTGCACTATATACACAGTACAGTATGTGCATACGATACTAAAAAACTGTAAACCTGATGTTTGATTTCTCCCAAATGCTCACAAAAGCTAACTGACTCACCGCGATAGGCATCTAATCTTAAAATTTGGGGGGGGGTACTATGTCACCATGGCAACTGCTGACAATGTGGCATTTTGCAAACCACTGGTGAATCAAAATTGTTTTAGTTCTAGATAAGCTTGGTGCACGTGTTGCTTTTTTTTAAGGACACCTCTCCATGACATTGTATCTTTATTAAAGGAAAAAATGAAATATAGATTCCAACAAATACATTTAACGTTGTTGTTTTTTTTAACTGTACCAGATAATACCTTAAATCCAAACCAAAATTAAATGAGTGCAACAACGCCACCTACTGAAATGGATGTACAACTACACTTTATTCTTGTACGGGCAAAATTTCTCGGGGTCACGTGCCCCCATTGCCCCTTAGGGGCCCGCCCCACTCTATGAGAAGTTTTACGTCCTTTAGAAAGGATTGAAACAGGTGATGACATGGTTAACCAATAAAATGTGAGTACAGTATGTTAATCTGATTCCATTTCCAGTGTACGTGGACTCGCCCCTTTTGGCATGTGACTCACTAGATTTTAATTTCATCTGCCCGTTTACTGTGAGCATATTCAGAGTTTTCCCAGATAGTTCCCAGGCACGATTCCCTCCTGTCCGTTTCTCTCCACGGTCCACCAGCCATCGTCACCGCGCTCTAGGACCTGAACAACGTCGCCTCTTTGGACCGTCAGCTCGTCTTCCACCTGAATAGATCGTACAACAAGCATTATCACAGGTATGTTTAATGCTATCGTGGTTAAGATTTGAGTGACCCAACTTGTATGTTTTTTTTTTTTTTGTCCTTACTAGTAAGACAGAGTAGCACACTAGAAGAACGATTGTGCTTTACTAATAATAGAATACCTGTGAATTATCAGTAACATTTTTCCCACTACTACTTTCCACATACTGTAGTATTACATTTCTGCACACAAAAAACAATACTAGTCAAACATTAGAGACTAGTTCATGAATGCTTTCCAGAGCACCTGTGCAGTGTAGTTGTAAAGCGCAACATAGGCGTCTTCGTCCACAGCTGGCTGCTGGAGGTCCAGCAGGGATGCATACGACCCATCTGAAGACATCACATGAAGCAGAGAAAAAAAAGGCAGCAAAGATGGTGAGCAATTGTCCTTTCATTACATCATAGCTGTAAACGGCACAGGACTGACCTTCCTCACTAGAGGGCAGTACTGAGGGCCGACTGTCAACGTTGATCTTCGTACCAGATTCCAGAAGAGGATTTGAGGTCCTTCTCATGAGGTCTTCTCCGCCCCCTGTTAAGCGTGCTCGGCCATTTCCATGCCTGGACTTGGTCTCCCTCTGGTAATAGCTTTCAAAAACGATGGGCTCTGTGACAAGTACCGGCAAACAAGAAGTTGGTTTTGATGCAGATGGGAATTAAGGGGCATGTACGGGAATTTGTTGTTTACCGCTTGAGTAACTACTACATGAATGGAAGATACGGTACAGTGTTAGGGAGGAGCTGCCGGAATAGTATTTGATGCCCCTCTTGAAAGGGTTTAGAATTACTGTATCTCCATATGCAACAGAATAGAGGCTAAGCACTACTTTTGTCTAACAAATGCTCATGTTTGGGTCTTGTGGGGCGGTGACAGTGAGCCACCATATCTAGCAGGTGGATCTATGGACCTGCTCACTATGGATCTATGGTGTATGGTGTTATACCAAAAACATGCACGTTAGGTTTGTTTTAGACTTTGAATTTTCAATAGGGTGAATGTGAGTGTAAATATTTTTTTTGTCTGTGTCAACAGTACATGGAAGGAAATCACCTGGTGGATGCCAGCCTGTCCTTTTCATCTCTATGAAACAGTTGTTGTCTGTGGTGATGTCACAGTGCTCCAGGTGCTTCCTTACCTCCTCAAAGAACTGAGATGAGATTGTTGAGAGACCGTTCATTGGATATCACAGGTTACAATTATGCAATGCATGCAGAAAAAAAAACATCATAGCAAAGTTGGCCATTAGATTTCTTGAACAGGTTCGAAAAGAGTGGATGGAGTTCAACGGTTTCAGGTAGTGCCTACCTCATCATCTTTGACGCACTGCATGGAGATGTGATTGCAGTGGTCCCACAGGGTGCACCTGAGCAAGCTGATTCGATCGGCCTCCATTTGCTGGAACACCTACAAGACCACGTCTGCATTTTCAGTATCAGGATTTTGTTCCACTTTTCGCTGATTCACTGCACATGACTCGCATTTCCCCACATGAGTCGGAATGGTGTTGAGAAAGAGGAAGTGGTGGGAACTTCCTGCTTGTGACTGTGTGTAAAACTTGTCGAGTTACCTCGCATGTGCTTCTGTGCGTTTCCTCCCAGTCCTGGCGAATACTTTCCAGCTGGTCGATGTTGGTCAAGTACAACTTCTCTGTCAAAAAGTTGGGAAGTCATTTAGAAAGCGTGCACATGTCGGCAGCTTTATGATAAAAGGTACAGGATACAGTTCAGTAACAGGCTCTTTTACTCAGAAATCCTTCGAAATGGTTGTAACTGTAACATTTAAAAAGGCAGATGAGCCAATATTGTACCTGCTTCACATGCTGCCTGTCTGCATTGCTTGGCCCTGTGGCGTACCTGTCAGACATATACAACAACAACAAAACATTTATTTTGCATATACAGGTGCATCTCAAGAAATTAAATGCCATCCAAAAAATTGCTTCAAAATTCATTTTACAAAAATTAGTAGCCAGTCAATCAAAGGGCACACGTAGACGAACAACCATTCACACCTCGGGACAATTTAGAGTGTTCCATTAACTTATCGTGCATGTTTTTGGAATGTGGGAGGAAACTGGAGTACGGGGAGAAAATCCACGTCTGGAATCAAACCGTGGACCTCTGCATCGTTAGGCAGACATGCTAACCCAAACCAGTCGCCCACCGTGGCCCAACAGAATAAATACAATGATTTGTAACCAGTATAGGATGTCACCCGCCCACTGCCCGAAGACAGCTGGGATAGGCTCCTTGTGAGGATAAGTGGATAAGAAAATGGATGGATGGATGGATGGTGCATCGAGTTCAATGAAGTCAAATGCCCATCTCTAGTACGAACACAACATTATCCTGGCTGGTACAACGACATTATAGACTACTCAATGCTAACGTGACATTGCCATAGCAACAACAGAAGCTATTTTTGAAGCTTTAATGGCCTTGTAACATGTTTTTTTACATTATAACGTGCAGCATTAATGTTTCCTTTTTTTCTGGTGCGCTTCCTGCCTGCCCATTGCGCAATGTAATGAATGCAGGCAGTGTGATCTTGTCACTGACCTCAGGTTGGCATCCTTTTAACTCATTCACTGCCAATGACGGCAACAGATGTCAAAGACACCTCTTAACTGGCGGCGAATGAGTTTAATAACAGTACATTGGTACAAAGGGTTATTACCTTTTCACCGTTTTTGCCCACAATGGCAGACTTCTCTGATGTCTGTTCTGCCTCGTCCGCCTCCTTGCATCTTGCCTCGTAGTTTTTCTTTGACTGTGGGTTGGAGAGAGACAAAGATCAACTACAGTGTTTCATTATGAATGATAATAACATGGGCCGATATTAATATTGTTACATTCGATCAACATTTGTGGGTTAAACAATTTGAAGATTCAGCTCCTTGAGGTTTTATTTGATACATGCTTAGACGAAAATCTACAACAAGATTAATTATTGTAAGGCAAGCAATACATTTTTAAATATTAACATTGTAGCGTATGAAATCAGTCACATTTCGTGTTTGGCAACGGCACGTGTGCATGTTCGTGGTGGGGGGGGGCGTCACTTTGGTCAGAGAGAAGAGGTGGCGAGGAGGGAGGAAAGCGAGGCTACATTCAAATCTTGCTAGCAGCTTCAATATCATTATATCATCGTCCATTAAAAGCAAGCCATTATTCTTGTGATGGTTCACATTTATCCTAATTCTGTGACTTGTGTCACAGCACTTTGTTACAGCTGCGTTTTATTTTTTTAACAGTTGAGTTGAGTATCCTTCTACCAGTGCGGCAACAACTATAAATGTGTGACTCCGCATTCACTCCTCGACATGTTGAACGCATCGTGTCATTACCTCCATAGTTTTCCTGAACAACGACACCTTTCTCTTCTGCACTTTCTCCATGATGCTTTCGAACTGGGAGGAAAAAAACACCGTGAGGGGAACGACGACCCCTCGCGTGGGATATTGTCACTTATCCCACGTAGAATTTGGCCACGTACCTTCTTCCTCTGCTCTTTCTGCCGCTCTCTGAACGCCTCCACCTTTTTCACCTCCTCTTTCATTGCCTCCGACAATTGGATGTGAAAGTTTCCCATGTTCTCCATCTCTGCAACCACAAATAACACCCACGGTACAGTATGTAAAGCACTGTGGCTCATTCCATGAGACAGTTTCATCAATCACTGCCATTTGCTATTTATTCTCTCAACTGTAGAGAAAGTCACGTCTTTATCTGAAGTGACGTGCTTATTGGGCAATGTCGGAGATAGACAAGTACTGTATTCTGATAGTAGATGGACTTACGTGTTCTTAGTTGCTCGAAGGAGTTTTTTAGAGTGCTGCATGGGAGTATTGTATGAAGAAATAATTCAGTGGTTTCTCGTGGTATTGTTTTCCTTAATGAGTGGACTCGATGTCGACCTGATTACCTGATCTCTGCGTGCCCTCCAGCCTTGCGGGCTATGGTCATCAGTTCCCGCCCATACTTTTCCTCTGCTGATGCCCTGTGCATGAAACACTACAAAAGTAAACACTTGTGACACTTCATCATTTTGCTACATTCGGAAAGTCACAGCATGATGGCCAAAAAACAAGAGTTGTACCAAAAAAAATGCTGCCATGATAAAGATAATTACGCGCATTTTCATAATGACTTAGAATTTGAGGACTGATCTGAGAATAAACTTTTGGATCAAAGGTGAATGGTGTCACGAAATTGCGGACGTAAGAGCCGGTCAAAAATGTTTTGTATCACAAGAGGTTTCAAAAAATATTTATACCTTTCCAGGCATGAAGCGCCAGCTGCCGCCGAGACGTGCCAATGCAGTATTTTGCATTTTACAATAATAATGAATATTTATGATGTCATATGTACCTGTGACTAAAAAGCAAAGTGTGGAGTTTGTGTTGCACAGAAGCTTTCATTTAAAAATATACATTCTCAAATTTGAAGCATCAAACAGCCAAACCATGCCAATTAAGCATAGATATGTCGTCTGGCAGTCAAACGTAACTATATTTGCAATTGTATATCTATGTGGATGAAAAAGTAAAGCATGGAGAGTCTCAGTGACCATTATGTTACTGTTACTGTAGAATAAACGATGCCATTATTTTTACATTTCCAGCTACCTGGCCCATCATTCCCTTTTTAAAAGTGGAATGTGTCTGGTAAGTACACATGGTTTTGCTTCCCCTCTTTTTGAAGCTCAGTGAGATGAAGTCTGACGTGATGCATGATTCTGAACTGCACAATTTCAGCGATGCTCGAGAGGTTTCACTCTATGTCTATTGCTGTGCATGTTACCGTGTAGTGTGCATGTGCGTAATCATGCACTTTCAGCAGATAAAATCCATACCTCATCTTTAACAGCTCTTCCACATCTTTGCACATTTGTCTACCATCTCGCAGGCGTTGCACCAGAGCTTCGTAGCCAGCGTGGCAGGTAAAATCGGACCCCTGTGAGGAGTGGAGAACGCGTGCGGTTGCGTAAATACACCGGTGCAAGGATGAGCATTGCTCAGCAGCTATTGCCACATGTCCTTAAAGTAATTCTGAATCCACTATTGGGTAAAAAAAAAAAAAAAAAAAAAGCAGAACTTGCATTTTAAAGTAACTTTGAGGGACAGTGCCATACAATACAGCTTTGGTGATGGTGTTTAACCGCAAAGACAAGCAAGCTGAATTTAAACCAGGGATGGGCAAAGTATGGCCTGCAGCCCACAAACAGCCTATTCCATTATATCCAGCCTACTTAGTAGTTTCACAAGACATCACCAACTTATTTGAAAATGAGAGTCAGCTTTTGGGTACTGATCAATGGAAAGGGTTACCGGCCTGATACACACTTCTGAAATGCCAAATTTGATGATATTCATTGCTCAAGACACTGTTCATGTTAATTTCTCACAATAATTGCCAGCGCTGATTTTACTAGGTAGGAAGCAGACAAATATTCATATGCAACACTTTATTTTTTGTGAATTATTTTCAAATGACCACTTCTGCAAAACTTTGAAGAAATCACAATGTCTAATCCCTGGTATATGAGTTATTTTTAGCACAGGCCCATGCGCACTATATTACTGAAGACTACTAACAAATCCTCCATTCAGTTAGCCCAACTCTTCAAGAATGAAACCACAACATGTGACTTACCCAGAAAGCATCTCGAAACATTAAACGTGTCATCGTCTAGTTCCTTAAGAAGTATGAAATGTTCTCCCTTGAAGCTTTTCTCACAAAATAATTAAAATATTCTGTGTAGCTAGTTTGATGATTGTTTGAAGGTCACTGGGCTCTTGGTCAACTTGACTCCCTGACTAGCAGTGAGTCATTTTGAATGAGGAAGAGCTTCTATCCCATGATGTCACTAATCACGTGTTAGGCATGTTTGGCTTCTTTCAGCACCCACTGGGAGGACTGTTTGCAGCCTGTGCAAATATTAACGTTGGTTGAAAATACCTCGTGGCATTGACCCACCCACCACTGTGACCTGTAGTCCCTGCAGTTCTTAACTGGCCTTCGCTTCACTCACGACAAATTCACTGGTCCATGTTTATCTATCAAACACTCACTGGGAAGATCCACACCTATCTTCGTATAACAGATGCCCATTTGTGCTATACAATTGTATGGTTGGGTGCTGGCCGCTAAGCTAGCTGCCAAGGCTTTTAGCTCAGCAGTGGGTGCACTCGACTCTCAACCAGGAGGATGGTGGTCATATCGTTCCACCAGCATAAAAAATCAAATCACATTTATTCGGCCTATTACGATGCTCGAAATTGACTTTTCATGTACTACTGGTTTCTTTGATGGCCACAAGAGGGCGACACAGACCTGACCATGAATTCTTCACGTGAACGTCGGAAGTAGTTGAGTGTCGGGGTTGTAGTGTTGGACGCCAAAGCCCAAATCACTGCACACAATTGGGATGAGCAACACCTTGTGCCTGGGGCGTCTCTTTGGGAGGACATGTTGACACATCACAGAGCACAGTGAAGACTTATATTGATTTTCAAATGGAGGAGAGGAGAGTGTCTCAACAGCTCCGAGATGGCCCATAACTGTGAAAAAGTCCGGGATCTCTCTCTCTCACACACACACACACACACACACACACACACACACACACACACACACACACACACACACACACACACACACACACACACACACACACACACATCTCAGGAAATGTCAATTAAGAAGCAAAAACAGAAGTACAGATCTCTTCTTTTGGTCACCTGCCAATCACAGGGCACCCATACTGTAGAGTGTAGACAAACTCCCTTTCACACTCATATTTACGCCTATAGACAATTTGAGACTTTGGAGACTCATCTCTACTATGAGTAGTTGGAACGCCAAGTTGTATGCAGAAAATTGTGTCAGACTTTGGAGGTTCCACAGTATCCAGCTATACATTTGAAGCGCTGTGTTTAAAGCACACATCCACCATTTTGGGCATAGCTTGTCCTCACAGGCCCGGCTCGTCATTTTGTCGGTTTTCCGTGTGGAAAGTTGTGCTGTGACATGTTGGCTGTTGCCGTGACCCCGTTTGAAGCCTCTAATGGAAGGACAAGCTTTGGGAATCAACTGTGCACACAAGCAGGGCCTTAGTGCACAAACGCACACACAGACACACACACTTCACAGTTGGATCCCCCCCTCACACTCCCTGGAGTGGCAGTTATTGAACTGTGACAAACGAGCCGTGTCAGAGCAGCCCCCCGACCTGGAGAATTGGCTAAATAACCTTTTCATTACCCAGCCACTGGCTGTATAGGAGACCCCTCAAACCATTCCCACATAGAATGGCGCACACACATAAGCAGCCCACTTACCTCAAACAGTGTCACAAGTGCTGCCACATGTCACTGTTGAATTCCCGAGAACTTTGATCCCGCAGGAGGATTTGCATTAAACACCAGCATCATTGTGAAAAGGATATTGCCATTGTGGGTGTAGGAACACTTCAGAAAACCACTGTCACTTAAAATAGTTTGTTGCTGTATCTACAAGTGCAAGTTAAAACTCTACAATGCAAATTGCAAGCATCATAGGCTACCATCTAAGAAGCGTCTTTTTCAAGACATCTTTGCTTATTTCAGCAAGACAGTGCCAAGCCACATTCTGCATACATTTTAAGAGTGGGGCTTCGTATTAAGAGTGTGAATACAAGACTTGCTTGCCAGCAATCCAGACCTGTCTCCCATTGAAAACGTGTGACCCATTATGAAGTGTCCAATAGGACAACATACACCCTGGACTGTTGAGCAACTGAAGTTTTTACCTCAAGCAAAAACGGGAAAGAATTCCACCTACTAAGCTTCAACACTGAGTGTCCTCATTTATCAAGTGCTTTAGCTGAGGTGTGAAAAAATCATAGTGTACATAAACAGAAAAACAGATCGTCACCGTTTTTTTAACGTTAAGTAACAAGCTTGAGTTTTCATGCCAGCGAGCTTTTTCCACTCAATCAGGGGTGCCCACTAAATCGATCGCGATCGACTGAGGACTGGTCCCAAGTCGATCGCGAGGGAACGTCCCCCCCCCTCAAAAAAAAACTCAACCAAAAACATTTGTGTGTCTGTGTACGTGTTATTAAAATGACATATTTTTGTGTTAGTGCACACTGCACCCTGAGCACCCTGTCAGTCTCACTTTCACAAAAAGTATTTAAAAATAAATAAATAAACAAACAAACAGGTCCCTTTAACCAACGGTGGCGTGCGACCTGCATCACCGGAAGTTGTTAGCAGTCAGCAGTCTGGAATCATACTTTGCGATTAGATGTGTTTGTGCTGTATCTTTTATTGTTATTATTTTCATTCAGAGTTTGTTTCATGTACAACTCATCGAGGGCACTGGCAAAGAATTGGAATCTGGAATGCCGGGAGAAGCATTTGAAAACAGCACACGTGAGCGTCCCATGTCTCGCGTCAGGTCTCTCTCGGGTAGGCAGCGATTTGCTTTTCACCAACTCACCAACTTTTTTGGATACTTTATTTTTCTGTTTAGTTCATCTTAGTGACTACTATGGCTATTGCTCATCAGGGCATGCATGTGTAAATGTGGTTGGTTGATCGAGGAGATCTTAGTTCAAAAAACGTTGGGCACCCCAGCTCTAAATGTACTGATAACTCTCGATAGCGCCCTCGCATGATTCTGGAAGATGATTTATGTATAGGTTTGTGCGTGCGTGGATGGGTGTGCCATTATGCTTGTGTGTGTGTGCGAATGCTCGAGTGCATGCGCGTATGCGCTTGCGTATATGACTCGTTTGTGTGTGCTTGTGTTTTTTTTTGTCTATATATAGAGAATGTGTTTACCAGCGCTTGTGTTTTTATGTATCTATCTTTTTCACCCCTGCTCTTTTGTCAAGTGCCACAAGCACGAGCTCAAACGTCACCGCACACTTTCAGGGAACAAGGGGAAGAAGAGGATGAGAGAGTAGAGAAATGATGGGATTTGAACAGAATAACCCTATTGCATTTCGATAAGAAGGCAAGCGAAGGGCGACCTTGGGCATATTAATGAGAACCTGTTAGAAAGTTGAAAGATGGCCGTCTAATGATGTGGTATACTTGACACTGAGGCCATCTGTACTCACCATCATAATACAGTTGAAAGGCAACAGCTGGAGGAGAAAAGACAGAACAAGCCTTGGGGCCGTTTACACCCTTGATCCGGGGTCGGCCTGAAATGAAACAAATTAGCCTTAATCCTCAATTTTAGTGCTGGGAGGGGCGACATAAATCAATTTCATTCTCATGTTTTTGCTTTTGCCACATCCCAACACACCCGGAAATACCTTTTTGATAACTGATAGCACTATGGGTCGTAGTATACGTTCTTCCCCTGACACACACTGCTTTGTGAGCTGACATGGTGTCTGTAAAGATGAAGCTTAACGAGAAAGTGATTCTCCACGTGGAGGTAACTTGTACTCTCTGCACTTCAGCAAAGAAATGCCTCTGCATGACCACAATATGGGGAAATATAGTAATTATATACTGTAGGAATTGTCAGTTATCAGTTGTTGTTGTTCATAGGCTGCCAATGCTATTGTATCTCATTTTGAGGCATTCGAAGTCCCCGAATGTGCACTTGCTTACCACATATCGTATGTTCTTTGCCTGGCCGGCCATCCTGTTTTTCTATCCTCTCCTGGGCATCTTCTTTCCTCTAACTGGTTGCTCTCAGCATCTTCATGTTTGTGCGTGTGAAAGTCTCAGGCGACCAGGCCTTTCCCAACACATGCAGTTCGCGGGTGTGCCTAAATGCACAATTTGTGTGTCTGGATGTGTGTCTGTGAGTGTGTTGTAAAGGCAGTATGGGAAGCTTTGCTAATTTGCTAAATGGATTCATCCATCTGACAGAGGACAAAGATTCTGCTTGGCTTCACTCCTGTGATCCAGCCCACGAGGGGAGTGCGAGTGGGCCCAGTTGAGGGTCACACCGCACGTGGCCGTGAGGTGTGGCTCTGCTCTGCGCACACACACACGCACACACACACAGTCACACACTTTGCTTTGTTGTTTCTCTTCCAAAGCGTTATCATTGATTTCTTGGAGATGTGCTTTGTGCACAAGTGCAATGTGGTCTGTGATTTCATATTCACTTTTCTTTTGTCATCTACCCACCTAAAACATCCAACTTGTCCATTTTAGAAATTGTTTACAGTTTACATAAAAGACATAATTTTTGCATTTGCAGTGAAATTAAGATTTGTTTTCAAAAGTGACGTGCATTTCTGCATTTTTAAAGATGAAATAGTTTAATTGTACACAGTATGACCGTTGCTGCGTCACATGGTATTCATGTTACAAAAATGTATTTGAAAGGTATTGGTTCATCTAATTACATCCTGTATTCTCAGTTGTACTAATTGGCCCTGCATCATTTGGTATTGGATACAAAAACAAAAATCTGCTTTTAGAAAGATAAATCTGTTCGGAATGAGATTGCCAGAGAATGAATTGAACAATCTGCACTGAAAAAAAAACAATGTTCTGTTGAATTTACTAAATTTTATTTCATTAAGTGATGGCACAAAATGAAATAATCTCGATCTGGATACATTTATTTAATTTTTTTTACCATCCATCTCATTTCTATTTCACTTGTCCTCATTCCGAGTACAGGACACTGAAAAAAATGGTGTGGTGAATTTACACAGAGATGGTTGCACACAAAACACTCATCTGGCCATTTTTTTCAAAGTAGATACATAGTCTACTTCAAATATGTATCTGGATCCAGATGCTTTTATTTTGTGCAACCAATAGAAATGGGACAAGCACCATAGAAAATGAATGGATGGATGGTATTTTTTTATAA